GAAACGCGCACCATTAGGGCTATCTCTGGGGGCTTGATGGATGTTTGCATTGGTCGCGCGTGAAAGTATGCAGCGATATTTGATCCGCGCTGCATTGTCGAAGGTGTGAAAGGAACGTGACTGCAAGGAGCAGAAGACAGCAGAGGCGGAAGCAATAATAAACTCAAAAGCTCATAAAACGTTAAATAAGCAGCACGTCCGTAGGGAGGTCCAGGGGCAGTCCTCCGAGCTGCACAGGCAAGATGACGGGAATGAACAGATGACAGTACTGTGGGGACCACGAACATACTTTCAGTCACAGAGCGTTTTTCCTATACGATCACGATTTGCACCAGATGTTGTCAGCGCTCTGCAGAAATCACCTTTTTGGTTGCAAAGCCCCTCTTTTACTCGGGGCGAACTCTTGTTGTTTGCTGCAATTAGCCGCAAGTTGGGCAGAAATCTCCACAGTCGGCTCCACAGTCATAGGGGGCAATCGAAAGGAAAGGAAGTTGGATCAAAACCAGTGCCGTGAGTGCGCAACATCTTGTGCTAATTGATCCCCTTTGGGGACGGGAGTACTTATGTTTGTGGAGGACACATTTCCTTATGCGGCTCATCCACCTTTTGTTGCCTTCCATTAAACTCAAATTTCTGTCGAATGGTTGCATAAATTGAAAAGGGGCCTGCCTGCCTGTCCCATCCTCGCATAATTTTTCGGAAACCTACGGCCTGGGTCCGGGTAGATGTGTGCTCGGTAGGTACCCGGAAATTCACGGGTGCTGTGGCTTCTACTGTCGTTATGGCATCATTTTCTTTGCTGCTCGGAGCCTAGACCAACTCCTCTCCTCGACATAGACAAGTATTTCCAATGGATTGGTATGTTCGGGGGTACTCGCTCTCAACAGAATTTCGATTGAATTTACGGCTTATGGCAGGCCTTTAAGTTTCGATTTAATTGAACTAAATCGGAAATGTTTCATCACACAAATCTAGTAGGTGTATGTGTCGTAGTCTTAGCCCCCGTTCGTTTTACCTATCAACCAGGAAGGACTTTTCGTGTTTTGTATATAAATATGTTTCGGAAGATTATAGAGCTAAATCGACTGCCCGGGCTGACGCAATGGAGACGGTCATTTGTTGCAGGCAAGAATGATCCTCCAAAGTCATGCCTGACGAATGAGAAGACGACCTTCGGTCCGCTGCACGACTGCGACCGCGTCTTTCAGAACCTGTACGGACGCCACGATTGGCGCCTCAAAGGCGCCTGCAAACGAGGGGACTGGTACCACACCGCTGTGCTGCTGGAGAAGGGGTCCGACTGGATAATGGAGCAGGTGTGCCAGAGCGGGCTTCGCGGACGAGGAGGCGGTGGCTTCTTCTGCGGGAACAAGTGGAACTTCCTTCGCTCTGCCGAGTCCAAGCAGGACAAGGTCCTCGTCATGAACTGCGCCGAGGGCGAGCCGGGGACGTGCAAGGACCGCGAGATCATTCGCCATGAGCCGCACAAGATAATTGAGGGCTGCCTCCTGGCCGGCTTTGCTATGGGCTGTAATCGGGCCATCATCTACGTGAGGAACCGCTTCTACAATGAGGCGTGCAATCTGCAGTTCGCCCTGGCCGAGGCCTACCGCTACGGACTGCTCGGCCCCAGCGCCTGCGACACGGGCATCAAGTTCGACATCCTGGTCCAGCGAGGGGATCGCTACCTCTGCGGCGAGGAGACGGCGCTGGTTAAGTGCCTGATGGGCAAGATCGGGAGGCCGCGCAGGCGACCGCCCTTTCTCACCGAGCAGGGATACTTCTCGCATCCCTGCGTGGTGATCAATGCGGAGTCCATTGCAGTGCTGCCCACAATCCTGCGCCGAGGAGCCTCGTGGTGGGCCGACCTGGGGCGCTCCTACAACTCGGGCACCAAGCTCTTCAACATAAGCGGACAGGTGAACAGTCCCTGCACCGTCGAGGAGGAGATGTCGATGCCGATGCGCGATCTCATCGAAAAGCACGCGGGTGGAGTGCGCGGCGGCTGGGACAATCTGCTGGCCATTTTCCCCGGCGGCCTCTCCACCCCTCTGATCAACAAGCAGGTTGCCGGGGAGGTGCTGATGGACTTCGAGTGCCTGGAGGCGGCCGGCAGCAGTCTCGGCTCTGGCGCTCTGATCGTCGTAAACAAGCAGAGCGACCCCCTCCAGGTCATGCTCCGCTCCATCCAGTTCTACGAGAAGCACACGTGCAAGCAGTGCACCTATTGCCGTGACGGAGCCATCTGGCTGCCCGAGCTGTTCGACCGCTTTGTCAAGGGCGAGGCTCATCCACATGAGATCGACTGGACCCTGGCCATAGGGAAGAAGATTAAGGACAGCAATCCGATTTGCGGCTTAGCCCAGGGACAGGTCAACGTAGCCGTCAGTCTGGTCGACAATTTCAGACCGTACATCGAAGATCGCATTCTCCAGTTCATCAAGGATTGACGTACCTGCCAACCACATACTTATATATCTTTTAGCTCTGAATGCCCAAGTTCTAAATCGAAACCCACTGTTTGGGTTGAATTGGTTTCCATAGCCGCTATTATTATGATTATATGTGTACGAGTAGTCCGTGGAAAGTATCCATCCGAGTCCATTTTCGCCCATGCATTGCTTCCTTCAGCGTTTTCCTGAATGAATGTAATTAAGATTCATGTTTTACAGAGATTATAGCCGTATCTCTGTACTCGTGTGGGTATTCCTGGTCGCCTCCCCCGGTAGGGAGAAGGGACATCTTCAGGGGGCGAACCAATCAACAGTTTAGGCAGCTCAGACCATTCAACGGTCGCCGCCTCCCGTTGGTTGTTTGCTTGCTTTTGGGTGGGAGCTCAGGGCGAGAACGCAACGAAATGGGAAAAAGGCTCTGTCGTGTGGCAATGGAATGTGTGGATCAGAGTCAGAGTCATAGTCGGAGGAGACAATGTTGCCATGAACAAGCACCAGGGCATTTGTCTGGCGCTTGAATGATTGCCGAGACAACAACGACAACATCAGGGAATAGTATGGGCAACGCGGCCCTGTCCGCCCTACTGCCCAACAGTCTTTGTAGTTTGTCCTTGCCATTATCCTTTCCCCACTTCCCGGTGCGCTGCTCGGTTTGCCAATAATCAAGGTTTTGGCAGAAGCAGACACAAACGCCGTATTTGTGGAGAGACTGCAGCTGCATGCCCCCCGCTCCTGGCTGGGTTGGGTTGGCCTGGACACCGCCTGCGTCGCTCTCATCTCAATTAGGAACTCATTCATCCGGACAGCCGAGCACACTTGACACTTGACAACACTCGCAGCGCTGGACAGTGTCCACACCAGTCCCGCCAGGTTCAAGATAAAGGCTTTAATGATTACGGGCCATTCTGCGACGAGCATCTGTGCACTCAAAAACTACAAAAGTCTGTGCAAAGTTAGCCTCAATTATGGACTGTTGAGAGTTAATCAGGATATCATCATTTATGATTCTGATGCACGTGCTGCAAAGACCTTGGGAAGGTCTTATAAGGAAATTGACAAATTGCTTTCATACTCGTTCCCTAACTGAAAAGGCTGTGTGCCATGTAACAAAAGGAAGTATCTCTAACCTGTAGTCAAGGTAGAAGAAGTGCTCAGTGCTCACTGTGCACGTGTCGACACATGGCTCAAAGGAGACATCTGGCTTGCCATCCTTGGGTCCGCCTCATCCGCCTCCGACCTCATCTGTGACAAAGTGGGAGATGCTCTTTAAAAAGTGACGCAAAAGCGGGCTGGCATATACATTTCACACTCGACTCCTTAGCGTCAAGGACCCGGGACGTGCCAGACTGATTGTCGTACTCAGGAGCAGTCGTCAAGCGGCGGTAAGGGCCTCTTGGCATCGGGGAACATTGAAAGTTACGGGTGAAAACCGCTGGAAACCGGGATGGTTGCAGCAAGCAGTGCGGCTTTCGAAGTTTGCGGTCTTTAATTCGCGTTGGGTAGCGTTGGGGCACTGCCGACGCTCCATGGCAGCACACAGGCCCAAACCACACAACCAGCAAGGCAATTGCTTATTAAAGTCCAATTAAAAGTCTGATCATTGGAGAGGAGGGGCCAGATCCCCGGATAGCCGGACGAAGACGAAGGCGAATGGCGAATGGCAGGGCCCCAAGGAGGGAGTACTGGGCGCAGAGAGCCTAATCACATGTGGCTGAAAATCGAATCAAGGTATCGATTTTGCCTTGTACTTTTTGCGTCGAGGACTGAGTCTGAGGTACACATGGCGCATTCCCCGTGCATTCAGATCGTAGTCCAGATATTCTACGTCAAACTGTTGAATGAGTAAAATGGGTCAGGGAAAGCAACGAAAACGTACAAGGATACATTCTATCTTTCTATATATATTTGTTCCAATCCAGTTCTTCTGTATTTAATAGTCGTACTAAGTAAATACTTCATGTACATATGTGCCATTGAAGTTAAAGTAGTGGTACATACATCGTATGCCCCACCGCCACTCCATCCGCACTCCATCTCTGCTAGCGGATTATAATGCTCGAGCATAATCTCGAATGAAAGCGAATGTCTTGAATTCCGCAAATTAAGAAGGCCGCAGTCTTAGACTTCCGTTGCTTTTTGTTTCATCCTCGCGAGGCCCCGTTCTGTTTCACGTCCCGCGCCCTGCCTGCCTGGCACTTGATTCATGCTTAGCTGGAATTCTTGGCATAACTTTCCCTGTTTGCTGCGCTTACTTTCTCTCACTTTGGCTCCTGCTTTCGGCCAGCAGCGCAGCTCGCATTACTGTAATGAAGGAGCCTGGCACTCGGGACCCGCAGCCGTTCCGGCTGAGCATGTCACTTGAGACGACACACGCTCACACGCTATCTGCGGCCATCCCAATGGAAAGGTCACCCAAGGTCTACGCCGTAGGCGTGCAGCGCATGATTTTCCCACCACTTACCTAAACTACTACTATATTACACACATGTATACACACGTACTAAATATCTCGTCCTAGTAATTATAGCTCGTTCAACTGTTTTTCAGAGCCATCCTCGCTGACCGTCGCTGGCATCTCGGCCAGTTGATACAGATGTTGGGCAAATTCACCTCGAACCATGTGCAGGTCTACCATCAATATTCCCGCACAGTGTCCGTAAAGAAGCCCGTGAAGGTGAGTACTTGTGCTTGAGTCCTCCGTCGTCTGTCCTGAGCCTGAGCGTCTTGTTGGCACTCTGAGCTCCTAAGTAAACACAATTAGCATGCATTAAAAGAACCCTTTTCGTTCGGTGGCATCCGATGGGGATGGGGTGCCCCATAATTGGGTGCCAGGTGAATGGGAATTCGTGTGTCTTATTTATTTTCTGTGATGAATTGTATCTGTGTGTGTGTTTCGTTTCCATTTGTTTGTACTTGTTGTTTGCACTTTGCGACGCACAAAAGCGAGCTATAATAATTGCATTGGGATGCAATGGAATGTACGTATGTGTATATCCTTCTGCGTATAAAACGACCGACGACCCACTGCATGAGACTTGACACCCAACGCCCGAAACCAGAGTCCGGATCACCTTCTATCCAGCACAAATTTCCTTCTGCATGCCGGCACGACAAGGCCAAGCCAAGAAGACAATAAATAATTTATAATTCATAATCATTTTTCTTACTCCCAGCAGCCCGCGTGTTGCACTTGCCGTCAGTAACGAACAGGAGTTGAATCGATTGAAGCGGATCCTGTGCGTCCACTGGCAGCCCTCGTTCTCCGCCCGTTGCCTGTGACGAGTTGCGCGTTGCGCGTTGCCCGTTGCCCGTGGCCCGTGGTCGGCTGCCACACCAAGCTGGGCCTCTGCCCCGTCTCCCTGTCTGTCCCGTGTATGTGTGCGTGTCTGTGCGTCCGCTGTGGACGATGTTGAAACAGAAACGTTTGGCCAAGCAGAAGCCCAAAGCGAAACCGGTAAGCAAATCGAACCAATAGCCATCCATCCGCAGCCGAATCGGCCTCAACTCTGACTTCTGTCCTCTCCAGATGCTCACTCTATAACTCTATAATTTGCACTGATTTCCTCACTGCTTGATTTCCAATCTGACAATCTTTATCTGCTCTCTTCTCTCTTCTCTCTGATACGTATATCTCTGCTATTTGACTGACTGCCAAACTGCTTTGTTGTGGAACAATGGAGCTCTCTGAGCACTCTGCTCTGTGATTATCTACCATCTATGTCCTCTTCAGCTCTCCATAGTTTAGTTGTAGGGAAACCTGCCGTGGCGAGTTCTAGTTCTTTTGGTGCTCCTTTGATAAATGAAACATTCGTAAATTCGAAGCCTTTGTGAACACCCACAACAGAGGTATTTTGTGTACATTTTTCAAACAGTTTTTGTTAGCAATGTTCCTGAAACTCCTCGACATTTCGCGGCCTGCCGCACCAATTATCACAAAGAACAGAGCGCATTGTTCTGTTGCAAAATAGTTTTTGAAAATGTGAATCTGCCTCCATGTGGGGTAGTCATGTTGTCATGTAAATTGACCTAGGAACAGGATTTTTAATCGTCAATTAATTGCAATAACTAGTACATGGTCTCTCAGTATACGAAATGCTAGCAAGGCATACATGTTAAATGTACATGTATGTTCCATAAAGGACACAAGCTCATCAGTGTGAAACTCAAGCCATAATTGTCATTTTTTAGGCAATCAAATCAAATAATAATAATTGTGTAATTTTTTAAAGATGTATGTATATCGTATGAATGTATGTAAAATCAAAGGGATCACAGTTTTCGACTAGTGGGGCTATTGTGGCCTCGAGATCAGTAAGCCCTTTGATGTGGCTTATATTGGCCTGCCAGAGTTGCACACCTTTTTGGACCGGGTGTAAGACCGGGTGTCACAAAGACTCGAGCTATTCTTACAGGGGGAGCTATCGAGTTTCCGTGCGCGCTGATTTTATTTGTTTTTAATGTTTATTAAGGTATACTGATATCTTATGCGTTATTACTCGTATCATGTGTTTTATCATTCTTACAGATGCATAGATGCCTCCTACTGCCTGATGCACATTTATTTAGGTTAGCAGTGCAATTTCCACTCAAAATCTCAGCGCCGTATGGCCACTATTTACTTAGGTCTATTCGTAACCCTGTTCATGTGCGAGCAACGAGCTATACTTTGTTGAGGCAATCATACAAATTCTCTGTGTCAAGGTATATATAAAAGTACAGTGAACTTTCTGTTTATGTCAGGTATTCGGTTCGAATCGGTTCTTTGAAAACAGTTTGCGTTTGAGTTTGACTTGCGGCCAATTTAAGTACATTTTGTGTACTATCGTGTACTCTCAATGAACCACACGAGCACACGCATACATAGCTGAATGTTATTAAACATTAATATAGAAGACCAGCGAAAAGAAGAGAACTCTCGTCTCTCTCCCCACTGCTACGAGTATATGTACATTCTTATCGCTCATGCTGTGCTACCGCTCTCGCTATGGGCGTGCCCAGTACTCGCTGGGGAGAGGGGTATATACGGTTGGTGTAAATGTGGACTCCGCGATGCCCACGCAGATCATTTTGGTTTCAGATGTGTGACATTTCCACTGCAACCGTTTTTAATATCCACAAAAAATCATTACGATCGAGTAGTTCTTGTAGAAAGAAAAAAATAGACCACAAAGAAGTGCGTCTGAATAGCGCTGGTATCCGATAGTCGGCACTCCCACACCAGCGCTGTTACTCGTTTTTGCTCATTTTTCTATGCGCTCACTCATATTCGATCGTATTGGCGCTATATTTGAGCCGCTAATTGACGCAGCTCGACCCGCCGACTGGGCGGGGGAGCGACAACTCCGCCAGCAGTTCTCGACGCGACACCGAACTGAATCATGCGGGAACTGTCAGCTCCGAAAGCGCATCGCACAGCCCGTAATCGTAATCGTAATCGCAGTCGTAATCGCAGTCGCGCATAGTCGATACGCATGTAGTAGATACATGTTGCATGTGTACCTTTCGAGCTTGCGGCCATAACTGTGCAGATTCCCCTACGCCGAGCGGCTAGCCATGTTCTTCCAGACAAACTGGGTGTTTGTAAGTACGAGTAGATCAGTCAATGAGTAATTTACTGCTCATTATCTAACCGGTATTCGTGTTGTGTTCGTATTGTGCCTACATATACAATATATATATGTACATATACATGTCGACTGGGCCATATATCGGACGTGCTATGACGTGCTCTGACGACTGTCGCCTTGTGTTAATCGGCAGCTGTCGTTGTGCTGTGAAGCGTGAGCGACTTGCTCCTACTCTCCCCTCGTTCTCTTCAGCCGGGGTCTCTTCCAGTTCAAGTTGCTCTTATGTATGAGCTTCACGCAAATGTTGTGAAAACTCCGGCAAAAGTCAATTCCGCACTCATATTGGAAGCCAACCATGCAAACGGGCACTCCGAGACTGCCGGCCCGCATTTCCAATGCTGTCATGGAAGCACTACTATTTTCACTACAAATTTCCCACGGTGGCACTGCTCCGGAAGAACTCTGGTCGTGCTGTTTTGTGGTCCACCTGGCTTTACGCACGAGCTGGAAGACGGGACTGATGCACTTGCACCTATCTGGGCATCTGGGATGTCGTATCCTGTGTCTGTTGCCCGGGAAACAACAAATGCTGGCTAGAGCTTTTGAGCCATTCCGTTAGACATACAACCCACCGTTATGATGAGTTTTTGTGGTCAGGCTACAAGTTTTGGGTTGTGTTGCCTCGAGGCATTCGAAATTCCCCACTCCACTGAGGTGTGAAACAGGAGTTAATTAATTGACAGCTTCATACAGGCCAATATTTATTTCAGCATTATTACCATTAAAATGTTTCGATCACTGACACGCGCCAGTGCCTGTTAGCCAGTTCCGTATAATATGTGGGCTGGCTGTTTAATTAAATTGAAATGTGTCACATTTTCCTTCCATATCCCCTGAACTGTGTGTTTGTTCCCACACAAAAGTTGTTTGGCTCTTGGGTGCACAGGAAGAAAAAGCTTTTAGTTTAATAGTCGCTGCATGAAGCAGTTTTTGGAAAGATATATGTACATACGTACCAGCAGATGCAGATGCACACGCATCTGTATATGGACACATATATGGAGATACGTACGTACGGATATGCAGGGGTATGGCTTGTATGGCTCCTAGTGGGCCCAATGGCTTTGCGGCAGAAAAACAAAATTTCCCCAGTGTTCTGGGCACTTTTTGTAGCCGGCGTCCTTTGGCTCCCATTCAACGGAAGCGTGTGGGTGCATTTTTGTTTGTTATTTCTAATTCGGGGCTCCAAACTTCAATAGTGTACTTAACTGTAGTGGTAGAATTATTGAAAATAGAGAAGTACTGGTCATTGGTTTAGAGATGAGAATTATCGAGCTCTGTTCTTACAAAAAAAAAAAAAAAAACAAAACAAAGCGGTCTGGCAGCAGGTCATTACAGAATACGCCTCGAATATCCAATGAGAAGACGAAACAGTCTTTTCATATCCTCCGACTAATTTTCAATAATATTTCTCTTCTACTTTCAACTTTGCTTTTCACAACACTGACACAACGACTCACACTCGCACACCGTCTCACAACACCCCACACAAACACCAACACAAAATGTGTGCTCTGTTTCGGTCCTTGAAATACCCAAACCCTCTTTCACCTTCCGTTCGGTTTTGAAACATCTTCATTGCAAATTTGAATTATTGTGCTGCGATCTGTTAATTAATCTCTTTTGTGTTTTCACACTCCACTCCACTCCCCTCCCAAACAACGCCACAACCCCCACACGGGAACACGCACACATAAACAACACCCGATCTGTCAAACACGATTTGTCGTTGACAACACTTGAATGCACCGTTTCTGTGTATGCGTATTTGTGTGTGCGTGGGTGTTCGTAATTCGAATTCGCATTCGCATTCGAAATTGCCCAAATGATTAAATTATGTATGCGATTATTGAAACATCAATGTCAATCCAACGACTACAACGACCACCACCCGACAACCAACATCAACATCAACATCAACATCATTGCAACACCAACAAAAACCATCTGCAACGTGCTGCGACACGTCAACACTACCTGACCATTGAACAATGTAAACTGAAAACCAACACAATAATTAAAACACAACCAAGATACCATGGGGACTGAAAAAAATCTGTTGGGGTCTGATAAATATAACTGTGCCGAGGGTAAGCAATCAACATTGAATCCACATTTAGTTTGTATATCATTTACTTGTTTTCGCTGTTCGTTCCCCCACAATCGTTGTCGCTAGCTCTGTACTCCACGTTTAGTTTGTTTGCATTTGTTCCTGCCTATTAATCAAAGTGCACCTAACCTTTATTGTACGCGAAATCTGTCCAGCGACGAGCCGAGCCCGGACCGGAGGGCTCTGCGACTAATTAATTAACCTCATTTGATCAACAAAAGCAACTTAATTCTCCACTCGTTCGTGACATCTCGCTGGAATCGATGCTGCCGACTAAACATCCTAGCCTTTTCACGGAACTAATGCCTTCCGATGGGGCTCCGGCCCATCAACTATTTTGGCACGCCCCAATCTAAGGATGAAGCCAACAAAACATCCAAGGCAAATAATTACACAAATAATTTAAATTTTGCCATAGCGTAACAGAGGAGGAGATGGAATGGTCTTGGATGCACTCCAGATTTCAGCTAATAATGAGGCCAGTCGAATTTGGCAAGAGACATACACATCCTACGCCAACTGTTTTCCCGCAGAATCTTGGCCAGAACCCCAACAGAAATTTGCATACTCGAGGGCACGGCCATCATCGTGTCATCGAGTCTGTCTGTCTTGATTAATCCCAATTGAACCGGCGCTGGTGAAGAACAGTCCCAAACTGTATGTTGCATTGTCTGCTTATCAGACAGAGTGTAGAGTGTAGCAGAGTGTGAGATGACACCTTGTCGGAAAATTCAAATTAACCAACCTGCAAATCAAATGCTCCGCTCGAAAACCATTTCATACTTTTGGGAGCCCCCCGGAAAATCGATGCGAAGCTTTCATCGTCGGGATTGTGGAGCAGAAAGTGTCGCCGAAACGACACAAACGAAATCTCTTGTCTGCCAGAGCTTGTCATATCTAATTGGAGAGCAGTTGGGTCCCAACTACACACCTACACCTTACACCCGGTACGATGGAGCAGATATTGCGTTCCTGTTCCCCCTCTCAGTAAATATCCGCAGCCGCAGCTGCAGCTGCAAGCCCCAGAAAAGAGAGCAGCTTCCCAGCATCATATGCTTGCCAGTTGGGATTGGACTGTCGCGCCGATAGCACGCCAGATTCTGATTTGGTTTCATATGGAAATGCCAAACGGATTAACAGTGGAGCATGTCGTGTGGATAATAGAGTTAAGAGGAAATACAGTATCGAAATACAGCCAACATTGCGGCTGCCAATATGGTTGTTGTCGACTCGCCGCTGGCGCCTCAAAAATACCTGCGTCGCATCTCAAAAGACTTCTCCACCGTGCGTCGGTATAGCAACACGCCAGGCTCCGTTTCCACAGCCACCGCGGTGCGGGTCTCCACCTCCGCCTTTATTGCCGCCGAGGCCGGGGCCCATTTGGCAACGAACACGCCCCTGGACACTCCTGTAGCTACGCCCCGTGGAATCCGCAAGCGGAGGCGGATGCGTAAGCGCTCCTCGGTCTCATCGACGCTATCCAAAGTTCTGATTCTCAACGTGCGAGATCTGCTGAAGGCCCACGCCGCCAGCGAACATCCCAAAGAGGTAGGAAGTGCTTACACTTGTTGCTCGGATCCAGCCGGTGGACCGAATTAGTAACATGTGACTCCTTTGTGGGTGCCGGGCAGAAGATTAACGGCTGTTGTTGAGTGCGGCTTTCCTGTTGCTCGAAACTCTCCCAGTCAAAGGAGCGACTGGAAAAGGTGGGATTCGGTACTCGGTACTCGGTATTCGGTATTCGAATAAATTGTGTATATTCTATTCGGCGGACTCAAGTCTGTACAGCAACGTGACTTCCAGGTAACCTTACATAAGCGTTACATGCCGTTCTACCTCCCTGCCGCTCTGCCCGTTCAGAGAAAACGGTCTGGTCTGGTCTGGTCTGGCAGGAAGGCAACGTGCTGCTGGCGGGGGCAGCGTCGAGCGATTTATGTTCGAATGCAGCTCAATCTAAAGTGGATGACAATCTCCATTCAAGTCCAAAATGGTCTAAATTAATGGAAAATGAAAACAGAGAAATGAAAAGCTTACAGATGCTTGCAGTATTGTACATACATCATTCTTCCCACCAAACATTGTAAATATATTTGATTGCAAAAAGTATTAACGCATTTCTTTTCTTGTTTCCCACATTCGTTTTTAGTAAATTAACCAATTGTTTATTTCACCTTTGCGTTTAGATATTTCACGTTTAATTATAAATGTTGTTTGTGTTCGATGGGAGATGTGAAATTCGAGATTTGTACATTCGTATTTCAATCGATTTTTGTTTCCCCAATAATATTTCAAATACTTTTTTATTTTGATATGCTTTTGCGAATTTCTTTCAACCTTTCAACATTTACAAATTGCGTATCTCGAGCACCCACTGTAGTCCTCTACAACTCGTGCGCTGAGATCGATCTCTTCACATGGCCATTCTTTCCCCAAGTTTATGTTCTTACTTACATTTATTCCTCTAGCTGTATATTCAGTGTATGCATATCAAAATGTAACAAATGGAACCAATTAACACTTTTGATGGGCCCGTGATGTAGTAATTAACCGGTTTAACCCTTGTTCTCTTCTTGACTTTATCGCGCGCGCCATTTAGCATCAGCCGCGCAGTTGGATCGAGACAAATTTTCAGAAGCGCGAGTGCATCAAGTTCATACCATGCCCAAAGGACGACACAAGGTAAGTGCAACTAGTTTCAGTTACTTCCCCATCTGAACGCGAAAGCAGACGAGCCAAAGTGCAGCGGATGTGGAGCCAGAGGCAAAGAAGTCCAAGTCCAGGTCCAAGTCCAAGTCAAGACGGCACCAGTTGACCCAGTTTCGCCAGTATCTAAAGGCGTTCTCTGCTCAAAAGCAGCTACTGCCCCAGTTTCTCGCGATTGTGTGCTTAGTTTCATTTTGGCCCGTTAGCATTTATTGTTTATTATGACAGACGGATCCACAGGCAGACGCAGAGGCAGAGGCAGAGTAGGAGGCAAGACCCTGCAGTGGAGATAGCTACGCCATAAACTGACTGACAGGCTGGTGAAAGTTTTCAGTTTCGTAGATAGCTGAACTGAACTGCTTCGCGATGGGGGTTTATGGCCCTGACTTTACATGACTTTGACTGCTGGTGTTGCCAAATATTTACTCAGTGGCCTAACAGATCCCACAAGTCTCCAAAGCCATGTCACTGGCCCCTACATGTTCCTGATAGTTCACGGGATGATTCCCCGAATGTCTGTTAAGCAAAAATGCAACAATGATTGTTGTTTCCCATTTGGCGAGGGAAGGGTAGGGGTCATTCGTCATTCACTGCCCTGGAGAATGTATGGCAAGTCGTTTCCCTCACTTTTGCAGGTGCTGCTGCGGCCAGGCCCAAATCACGCATCAGACCATACAGGGCATCGAGAGCGGCTCGCCGGGGGACCTCTGGCTGCCGACGAAGCACACCCGACCACAGCCCACGGACGCCTATGGAACCATTGAGTTCCAAGGCGGTGCCCATCCCACAAAGGCTCAGGTGGGTTCTGCTCAATTTTGAGGCGATTTCCTTTAGTGCGGTCCCAATAACTTTTGATCCGTCTATCCCATGTTGCCATCAGTACGTTCGTTTGTCCTTCGACACGCGTCCAGAGCTGCTGGTGCAGCTGTTCACAAAGGAATGGAACCTGGAACTGCCGAAACTTCTGATCACCGTCCAAGGCGGCAAGGCCAACTTTGATTTGCAGGCGAAGCTAAAGAAGGTGAGCTGCGAAAACTTTTGCACTTTGCCACATTGGCACTTTGGAACTTTGGCACTTGAACACGCTGGAAGTGTGTCGTCGCGTGGGTCACACGCTAATTGAATGGCCGGGCTTTGACAACAACAACCTTACCTTTCTCCGATTCACAGGAGATACGCAAAGGACTGCTGAAGGCGGCCAAGACCACGGGAGCGTGGATATTCACCGGCGGCACCAACACTGGTAAGCATGCGTTTCATTAGTTGAACTTTTACGAAAGGACACTACACTGCCGAGCTTTTACGGCCGGCGATTACTTTCGTCTGAAGCCCCCATCGTGACCCAAGGCAAACACCAGCCAGAAGAAAAGTGAGCAAAAGCAAACAACGGACGATAGCAGGAAACTTAAAGAAAAAACGGCGAAAGGGGATGGGAGGATGGGCGTCCCCAGTCGAAAATTAAATAAATAAAAACTCAAGCGGAAATCACGCAGCCAGTGATTGAGGGCACACTTCCAACTGCTTGCCGCCGACATAATGCGACACCCAGTATCCGAAGGGGTGTCCGGGCAGGCCCTGAGACGGTCCGCAAATAACCCGACCCGGTTTACGTTTTTACACCGTTTTCCTTAGTCGGAACGCACAGGAAGATATTTTTTGGTTCGCTCGGCAGTCGTCTGGATTTTGGGATCCAGTTTTTATTAAATTTTAGAAACCCCTAACTAAGATATAAACGAGGGGGAACGTTGTGAGTTGCTGCGGACACCGCAACTCTACGGTTATACCCGATACTAAGTCAGTATGGCTCTCCTCCGGCAGACGCCGCTAATATTTAACGACACGACAAAGAGTGCGTGCGAGAGAGACAGAAAATCAGTCTGAGCGTGACGTCGGGCGCTGCGTAGCCAGTGCAAATTGATTTGCTCCTTTTGGCTATGAAAATGATCTGATCTGATCCAGATTCAGCAACCTGATAGATATGGTTATTATCTATGATTCTGCGTTTTTAGTTTTCTCAAATCTGCAATATTGTGGATGCAACAGATTTTCGTCCTTTGTGGGGGCGGATGGGGGGGGGGCGAAATTCTGAGATATACGTTTTATAGTGTCATCTTAAAGGAGTGTGTGTACCAAATTTGGTTACTCTAGCCTTAATAGTCTCTGAGATTTGTGGTTGCCTCAGATTTTCGTCCTTTGCGGGGGCGGAAGGGGGTGTGGCGAAATTTGGACAGGAAACGGTCAAGGTCCGATATCACAGGAGTGTGGATACCAAATTTGGTTGCTCTGGCTTTTATAGGTTCTGAGATCCTTGAACTCATATTTTGCAATTGGCAAAACCGACCATGAAACCTGTGTGTTAGAGTGAGACAGAGCGAGAAAGAGTGAAATTGTTTTCGTGATTCTGGCTGTAATAATTATACGATCTGGTTCAGATTTTGCACTCTAGAAGATATAGTCATCTTCTACGATTCTGCGTTTTTAGTTTTCTCGTATCGTCGAAATTGTGGATGCCACAGATTTTCGCCCTTTGTGGGGGCGGAAGTGGGCGGGGCAAAGTTTTGAAATATTTTTGGAGCAGTGACATATCACAGAAGTCTGGATCCAAAACATCGTTGCTCTAGCTCTTATAGTCTTTGAGCATTAGGCGCTGAAGGGGACGGACAGACGGACAGACGGACAGACGGACAGACAGACATGGCTCAATCGACTCGGCTATTGATGCTGATCAAGAATATATATACTTTATGGGGTCGGAAACGATTCCTTCTGGACGTTACACACATCCACTTTTACCACAAATCTAATATACCCCAATACTCATTTTGAGTATCGGGTATAAAAAGCGGCAACGCACCTCCTCCTCTTGGAGGGTCAGAACAACGTATTTGTTCAATTGCTCAGTGCCCAACGTTTTCATTGTTGTCTCCTCCTACTGTCACGCAGGGGTCACCAAGCAAGTGGGCGACGCCCTGCTCCTGGAGGGTCAGCAACGGACTGGGCGTGTGGTCAGCATCGGCATTGCCCCCTGGGGCATAGTCGAGCGCAATCATGAGCTGCTTGGGCACAATCGGGAGGTGCCCTGCCACAGCATTAGTTCGCCCAGGTGAGTTCGAGCCGCATCCTGGTCCCAGATGTCGCCCTGTTAATGCATATTTGATAGGGCCCAGCCAAGGGAGCAATTGTAACCGGCGCAACGAACCTCTTTTTTCAGATCGAAATTGGCCGTGCTAAACAATCGGCACGCCTACTTCCTGCTAGTCGACAATGGGACCCAGGCGAAGTACGGGGCTGAATTGATTTTGCGGCGGAAGCTGGAGAAGTTCATATCGAACCTGAAGCTGCATCCATGTGAGTCGACAAAGAGGGTCCACACAAACACTCGCACATATGTATCTGAGAGCACAATAGGCAATAGCCTGCCCGCAGTTCACAGATTGATGCACCTTATTCCCGACTTCCCTTCAATAGGCACTCTGTGTTTATATGTTTCTTTCTCAATCAGCTCTGAATGGGGTTATTCAGTCTGTGAACGGGAGTTCTATGTCGAATAATTCATTAGACCTGTGGAGTTCTGGGCCTGTGTTGCATGCCACTCATAAGATGCTCATGCCTCTTTCTCTATATTTTTCCCTTCTCGCTGCAGTCACACATTCCAGTACGCCCGTCGTCTGCCTGGTGATCGAAGGCGGTACCAACACCATACGTGCGGTGCTCGAGTACGTGACGGACTCGCCTCCGGTGCCCGTAGTGGTGTGCGATGGATCCGGGCGTGCTGCCGACCTGCTCGCCTTCGTCCACAAGTGAGTAAAATGCGAGCGCGTTGGCTTTAGTTGAAGATGGTGCTTAGCTTTAGGATGGATTGCCGCGCGGGTACTTTGCAGGACGTAAAGCATATATTCGTATACTCGTATCTTCGTATCAGGGAGCTTGATGCGAAGCCGACCGCAGCTTGTGTCCTTATTTTAATTAAGGACATGTCGGCATGCGTCTCTTGTTGTTGCTGTTGCCGGCTGATACTCGCATTGTTGTTGGCACCGGCTCGGTTGCCTTTCATTGTCAAGCACGCGACATTTGGAAAATTATTTAAATTTATCCACCTCCCACCCAGTCCCTTCGGCTGCTGGGGGTTGGGCGCCCTATGCTGTGGCGGTCCGGACCTTTTTGTGTGCCACATTTAATTTTGTTGTTTAATTAGTCGGAATAATTGGGCGCCTGACAATGTTACAACAATATTTATATGCAGATATGCCTCGGACGGAGAGGAGCAGCCTGTACTGGAGTCGATGAGGGATTATCTAATTGGAACCATACAGAAAACCTTCGAGGTGGGCCTGGACCAGGCCGAGAAACTCTACCAGGAGCTGCTGCAGTGCACGCGCAACAAGAACCTGGTAAGATGATCAAATGTTTCGCTGTTAACAGTGTACGTACATACTCGTATATAGTAGTATATGTTCATTCCCTGGTAGGAATGTCGAATGGGGTAGTTGTGCTTTGGGTGATTCAGCAGGTCTCGGGGGAAGTTTTCTAGAACTATTTATAGAAAGGAGACATTAATTAAAATCGCGTAACCCGAAAAATCTTTGCTAAACTTGGCTTACTGGAAGTGATTTAAACTGACTGGCGGGTGGGGGGTAACATTTCCATCACTCAAGTCATTTCGCGAGCCGATTTGAAATTTTAATTAATGCTCGATGCCGTAGCCGTAGCAGTAGCTTGTCCGTTGCCGTAGCCCCGCTGAGATAATTAGGCTACAGAATTCAATTGAACGTGTAATGAATTTTGAATCACCGCGAACCAGGGCAGACAGTCTCTTGGGAGTATTCCTAGACCAAAATGTTGGCATTTCGTCAATTCCGCCGCAGCTGTTATTAAGATTTTAATTGGTTTTTGAATAAGCAAGGAGCCCTCGCCCCGTTCCGAGTCCTTGACTGGTCTGTTCGGCTGGGGATGGTCCCAAACATAGGCATAGGCAAATGTATTATGTGCGGTGTGGAGTGGGGTACATTAAGAGATACTTACGGTTTTTATGTATATTTTTTCAATTTCTCTGCCAGATTACCGTCTTTCGCATACAGGAAAAGCCCGAGGGCGAGGCGCAGGAGCTGGATCAGACCATTCTAACGGCCCTCTTCAAGTCGCAGCATCTCAGCCCTCCAGAGCAATTGAGTTTGGCACTGACATGGAACCGGGTGGACATAGCACGCAGCGAGATATTTGTCTACGGCCAGGAATGGCCCCACGGTGGGTCCCCGTCTCCCTCTGAGCATTTGTTTAAATTTCAATATATTTTCCTTCTTATTTTAATTTGGTGTGCATGTCCTTAGGCGCCCTGGATGAAGCCATGATGCAGGCCCTGGAACACGATAGAATCGATTTTGTCAAATTACTTTTGGAGAACGGCGTTTCAATGAAGAAATTTTTAACAATACCGCGCCTCGAGGAGCTCTACAACACAAAGCACGGCCCGGCCAACACACTGGGGTGAGCATTAGGGTCCACAGACTGGCCCAAATGCTCGCCATTCGGCCTATGTAAATTTGGACTGTGGTCCGCTCCGCTTTCTTTGTCGCCTACAGGTACATTCTGCGCGATGTGAGGCCGCACATACCCAAGGGCTACATTTACACTCTCCACGACATTGGCCTGGTGATCAATAAACTGATGGGCGGCGCCTACCGGTGAGTGCCGGGGTATTATATGATTCACGTTTGTCCAAACACACAATGGGCCAAAAAACTATGGTCACATAGCTAAGTATTTCCGTACCGCTTTGCCTGTTTATGCGTTTGAAACATACTTAAACATACTCCTCCATCATCCTGCATCAACCGGCGAGTCCGAAGAGACGGCGGTCCGTATCTATGCCTAGTCCCCCTCAATCTCAAAGCTACGAGTCTAAGTTTCGCCCGTATTCTGCTCACTTTATCGTATAGTGTAGATGCAATATGTTTCAAATGTTCAGTCAAGCAAAAGTCTCAAGCTGCATCCGATGGTTCACTCAAACTGCATAAATGCTAGCTCTTACGATTCGGCAGTTGGCCATGTGAATTCAAGCAAGCGCGCGTCTACTTTTTTTGACCAAAAGAAACTGTAGAGCTTGTGGGCTGCAAACAATTGCCAAAGCAATAAGAGATCGAGATGGCTAAGCATTTCATTCGCCCTATGGATGGCCTTCACTTGTGGTGGTCTGAACTGGGAGTCGGAAAGTTTGTTCATCAAATTTGTTCATCAATGTACACAAAAATTCCTGAACACCAAGCTGTATTGCAAGTAAAAAGAGCTTCCTTTGTCATGTTGATTTGAGAAATGCGACTACGGCGGAAAGGCAAAGGAGCGAGGCCTCAGCCACACGTCCCTTAATTATGCAGCATTAACATTTTAGCCTGCGAGGCGAAAAATGTTCGGGCGACCTAAGTTTTTTAATTTTTCCCATAAAGTGCGGATGCCTTGGCTCAGCCAGGGATTGCCCAGCAACTTGTTTGTGGCTTAAATAAAAAATCGTTGTTGCTGAAGCTGACGGGATCTGGGATCACTCAATTTAAAAAAGAGTCAAGTGCATGCTGAGAAAGTTTGTTGACCCTTGTTGAACCCTGTATGGGGCGAATTTTCGAGAAAACTTTCAAAAATAAGAAAATTCCCCAAACGGCTCTGAGGTTGTATGGCGACGAGGCTTTTAACACAAGCTAATTAATGTGCTAGCTTTCATTTTCCATTGAAGTAGATTTGAACTGTGCACGGGCCTTCCAACGGGTGCCCCTTAACGGTTGTTCCTTTTCAATGAACCCATCTGTGTGTCCAGTCCGGCTGAATCCTGATGTCGGCAGCTCAACCTTAAGTCGTCTTTATTGCTTTTGAATAAATATCTTCAAGCATAGCCAGCCATTCTGATGGGGTTTGCTTGCAAACTAATTTGACACCACTTGCCTCTTGCCTTTTGTACGTTCTCGGTGTTCGGTGTTCGCTGTTAGCTGCTCTTTTTATTCCACTAAGTATCCACTATCCCACCCTACTTTCAACGTGCTGTTTGCCACGTTTGTGTTTCGATCAGAGGTCCCGGACTCCTCCCTCGTCATCGGTGGAATGCTATCAGACAAATGGCCATCTAAATGGCAAATGCTACCTAAGCTATGAGCCGGCATCGAAGCTGTTCTGTTTATATATTAAATTACGGACTTAGGCCCTTTGCCTTTTGCGGCTCTCTTGGGCTGGGGTACTCGTGTGATTTCTTGCTCCGATTCAAAGGGTCTAGACATTTAAATTCGGTCTTCAACAGCAAGAGCAGATAAGGAGCGGAGTCAAGGAGCACTGGGCTTAATTAAAAGCATTAAAGTTTTGCGATTAGATTAACACAAAATTCAAATGGGCCTGCCCTTTTGGCTGCTGTGTGCTGCCGACGGGCAACGGCCAACGGCCAACGGGTGTCTTTCGGCTTAGCTTGGCAGCAAAATCAATTGATTCGCCATTTGATGTGACATAAATATTTGATGGCTGTTTTTCTTGATGCTCTGCATTTAATTGGGCGCACGTTAAACGCCTACAGGTCCTTGCGAATGCCGATTATGCCAGGCCATTGGACTTGTTTGTTGCGTCAAGTAGCAGTACTCGTAGGCTTATTACTTTTTTACCTCCCATTCTGGCTTAGTCCTAGTATTCGTGGAAGAGGCAGTCGCACAACGGGCCTAGACAAGAAAACCAAAATTATATTCAAATTTCAGCCTGGAAGGTACTCGACCTGCCAGCAAACAATGAAATGGGTACACATAATAGAATGTGAATTGGAGGGCTTTCGTTATCCGTTTGGTTGTACCCGGTTGGTTGTCTGTGACTCTGGGGGTTTGGGCGTCTAAAAATTAGCCAATAGCACGAGTATTAGATTAAATATCCGTCTGTGTATCCTGCAGGTCCTATTACACGCGTCGCAAGTTCCGTCCCATCTACGCCAAGGTCATGAACAGCTATGCCAACGCCTGCCGGAAGTCCTCGACATATCAATACCAAAGGTATGCGGGAGCCAATTCACTAAGTCTGGTGACGGGACTGCTGCCGTTTACCTCGGAGATGGCGCTGTTTGAGTTCCCGTTCAACGAGCTGCTGGTAAGAGCTCACCCAACCGGGAGTTCCCAGGGAGTTTTTTAACGGAAGTTCGATTGTAGATTTGGGCCGTTCTGACCAAGCGGCAGCAAATGGCTCTGCTTATGTGGACGCACGGCGAGGAGGCACTAGCCAAATCACTGGTTTCCTGCAAACTTTACAAGGCCATGGCGCATGAGGCGGCCGAGGACGACTTGGACACAGAGATCTACGAGGAGCTGCGCTCCTATGCCAAGGAGTTCGAGAGCAAAGGTGAGTGCTAAGCACCCTTGCGGCTGACTTGCCAATCGAATTCCGGCTTCATACTTGGTGCAGGCAACAAGCTCCTGGACTTCAGCTACCGCCAGGACGCGGAGAAGGCGCAACGTTTGCTCACCTGCGAGCTGCATTCGTGGTCCAACCAGAGCTGCCTGTCACTGGCCGTGGCGGCGAATCACCGGGCTCTGCTTGCCCACCCCTGTAGTCAGGTCATCCTGGCCGATCTCTGGATGGGCGGCCTACGCACCCGCAAGAATACCAACTTCAAGGTGCGACTTCTAGCAATGGCCGAGCCAGCTGAATCTTTGATTCTAAATTGTATCTTGTGTGCAGGTCATCTTGGGTTTGGTGATGCCTTTGTACATCAGGCAGCTGGACTTTAAGTCGAAGGAAGAGCTCCAGCAAATGCCGCAAACCGAGGAGGAGCACTTGGAGAACCAAAACTTGGACAATGACGATTCGGATCGCTCCCAGCCCGATGCCGAGGTAGATCAATCAGCAGTTCAATTTATTCGCCGCTGTTCTTCTGTTCATATATGTAAAACTAATTTCAAACTTGAATTACATTTGTTTGTGTTGTCTGTATGTGCCAATCCTGAGTGTGCCTTACACATTTCAGCGTCAGCTTTCAGTTTATAAATTTAAATTTATTCAACTAATTTACCAACTAAAGTTTACCACTTATATACCATTAACGAGATGCCGCTCTGCTATTCATCACCACTCCTAACCAAACGCTTTCCGAATCCAAATCTATCTGTTTGTAGAGCGCCCTTTTAAAAGCCAAAAGATCCATTTCCTTGAGATATAGGATGGGCGCGAACACTTATAATCGCGAAAAGGTAGTAACAATTGCTCAACTGATCTAAGTCAATTCCTGTGTATTTTCTGTACAAGTCGTCTATGCATACTCCTGATATACATATGTATCTTCTATTTGCTGCTCGCTGTTTCTATATCTCTATCTCTCTTTCTCGCTTTCTCGCTTTCTTTCTCTATCTCTACCTCTTTCTCTGATTCGGTGTCTGAGCACTGTGCCTACATATTCTTTGTGTTTTTTTCTACTGTATGTATTATGTATGCTACCAAAACCGACTTTAGTCGCTCTGTACTTTATATGTTTTTAGTTTTCAAATGTTATTCGCTTTCAGTAACGTTATTTGGTATGTGTATGTAAATATTATATATTGTATTTGGATTTAAGCCCTGCAAGGGCTTTATAGTAACGATTGGATAGGAAAATGCTTAGGCGGGCTAGGAGACATGTTCGAGCTCAACTATGCCACATTCTGGCTAAGTCTACGAATGGTCGAAGGACGTTCATTCGCTGTACAAATTTCCCATAAGCAAACGGAAGCATTCGCTTCGAAAGATACGACCAGAGACCATTCGCAACGAGCGGTTCGGTATTAACTATTATTGTATAGTATTTTTGAGAGTTTTGACAAAGTCGATTGTTGCACAGAGAATTAAATAGAGAGAAGTAACTAAGGATAGTCACCCGGTTTTTATAGTTTCGTTGAAACTATAAAAACACGAATGAAATTACAGCTCGCAGAGTTTGCCTGCTAAAAGTTTATTTGCAGAAGGCGGAAAAGGGTCAGACATGGCTACGTCGACCATGACGTTGATGATTAGTCGCGGCGTAGATCAAGTACATCAGACATTTGGCCACGCTCTTCTCCGCCTCCGCTAAGAACCCTCAGTGATAATAATAGATACCGAGTAGAGTATCTTAAAAGTTAAATTATTTTTAGAGGCGCTTCTGAATACCCTCGGCATTTGCCATGCGCGTCCCATTAGCGTGTGATGCGGGAGATTAATTGTGGTGACGTGGCATGGGGTTACTCAGATACATTTAAAACACACACACCGAACCTTTTGACTTTCTGACTAACTATCATTTGAATATTTTTTAAAGTGCAAGCTCATAGCAGCTGAAACAAGCTCGCCCTCCTATAAAAGCGCCGCTAATTCAACAGACGTAAGTGTCCGAACAAGTGTCCTTTTGCTTCTAATGCTTCCCATAAAATGTTCCATTTTCCCTGCTTGGCTCCGAGTTAAGTGCGAAATACCATTGCCGGAGAAATGATATCAGATATTAGTGGCAGCACAGCCGCCACTGGTTTCAATTAAGTAATAAGCTGGGCACATCACCGCCACGTTCCCCCACGTTCCCCGTCATCGAATCGCATTGATCCCAGCAGAGCCACACATGACGCTATACTTTCAGTCCGTTAGTGTCAGGCTGCCTTCTGGCACTGCACTTGTGCAAATATTTTTTTTCAGTTACGCGAGCACTGCACAAACACCCAATCTTTATTATCATCATATTTCCATCGCTGTCCCCACTGTGCGCACGCTCCACACACGGGAAAAATCCTTTCACCGGGGATCCAATTGTTGCAAAATCATTAAAGGTAGATTCTCGATGTGTCCACAGTATACTACTTCGGGCAGTCATGGCGCTTGTGTAGTTCTTGATGGTGGTGTTTATTATTATGTATTTGTACGTATATCTGTAGAATGCGAATGGTTATACTCTTATTCGGGAATAAATTATTGGCAGTCACACTTTTATTTTAAGCCATTTCCTTGTAATATAGAATCACTATGATAAATCTTTTCCTTGCTAATCGGTTCAACACACACCCATTTCAACTCTTCATCTCAACTCAAGTATTTCGTCCAAAGTCCATGGCAAATAGACGTGGAACTAAAATTTAACCATTAAATACCCTCTCTGATAAATGCGAAAAATGTGCCCAAACCGTTACAGGCTCTATTGGCGGATACTTATTCAGTACGCGATACAAAAGTACACGAAAATGGCAAAGTGAGTAATCTGACCACTTAAACTGCAACACGAAGCAAACCAACACTCACACCCCAAAAATTTCATCGAAAACTTGTACTGAGAACAGGATGAGATTCCAATTTACCCAATCCCAAAAAACCCGTAACTACATACGAAACGACACCATAAATTTGTATTTTTGTATATTTTGTTGAGAATCGTTAACACCTCTAGAGAACACTATCCCGTAGGTAACCCCCATAGTTTGTAAGTACTCGCATCACCCTGACATTTGCGAACTATGACCAATGATTCATACTCCAGCATCCATACTATACTATGCATACATACAGACAGCTTCACGTAAAGTTCCCCACATGTTGTTTTAATAAGTTTCAGTCCTGGTATCATATCAATTTACAGGTCAATCTCACTGCTGGAGCGGAAGAACCACCCTCCAATGTTAGTTGATCCCGGATTGAGTTTCTCTCCCAAAAGTATTTTTTTTTTCAATGGCACATCTGTAATTAGTTTTAGAATTTATTCCATTTAAGCCTTATTCCTTGTTCTTCTTGGGATGCTCATTTCTTAGTTGTTTATCGACAATTGGACATATTCGTAGCCAAAATTTAAATCATCCTTGTCGGCTTGCCTAAGTAGTGCAGTGTTTTTTCGCTATTTTTGTACGTAATCACTCTTCGAGAAATTATACGACTAACTATATCTGCTTAAACTATACGTGCAGCTGCGTTTCCGCGTCTCTGCGTTGCATGCTGTGTATGAAAACTAAACACGCATATAAATAGCAAACCATACATAACTGAAAATTAAAAATTAACTAGAAACAAAACCAATCAGATCACACTTTCCTCGGCCAGTCCTCTAGTCGTATACGCAATTGCCCAATGTACTATATCTCCACTCCCTTTTTGGATGTTTCATTGCACATTGATGATTTAATTAAGCCCAAATAGTGTACCTTTACGCTTTTACGCACACTAGGCTCAGCACGCTGATTAATTTCGTTGGCGTTTCTCCGTAGGTCTCGCTCACTGACTCAGATCCCGCGCAGTTCCGGGAGTTCTTCAACTTGTCGGAGTACAACGAAATCAAGCAGCACCAGCCCCTGCGCCTGAAGAAAAAGTTTCACGAGTTTTACACAGCCCCCATTACCAAATTCTGGGCTGATTCGGTAAGTAGCGTAGCGGAAATGACTATCCCTCTAGCTAGTGGGTTTCCTTTCCGAAATGTCTGACCAAGGGGGTTTTCGGATATTTAAAATTATTTCTCCACCTTTTCATTGACTGTCCAACCCTTCCGTTGCAGATTGCCTACATGTTCTTTCTGATAATGTTCTCGTTCACGGTTTTGGTCAAGATGGGACCGGTGCCGCGGTGGCAGGAGTGGTATTCGATAGCTTACATCACGACTCTGGGATTCGAGAAGGTTCGCGAAATCATATCCTCGGAGCCAGTGGCCATTACGTAAGTAGTCCTCTCCTCTCCACCGCAAAACAAGGTGTTAAATGTCACCTCTCGATGCACGATGGGAACATATGAGTCCGGACGGACTACGGAGATGTACGCATTTTCATTACTTTTTGTTCTCAATATGTTCGGGAAATGCGTGCTTCTCACGCTTGAATAAACGCTATGTCCTTGACGACGATGGGATCCGTTGATGGGAATTCGTCGGGCAGGCATAAATTTTCTGTGTGGGCGTGGAACATGTGGAACCCGTGCGACGGAGCTGCCATTATACTCTTCCTCATTGGTCTGGCATTCCGCTTCCGCCCCAACACAATGGACATCGGACGAGTCATCTACTGCGTGGACAGCATCTACTGGTATCTGCGCATACTGAACATCCTTGGCGTCAATAAATATCTTGGTAAGTTAAGCAAGGCAGCGTGGGATGATTAATTTCTCATCCGCGGAGGTCCATCTGTTGCAGGTCCCCTGGTCACCATGATGGGCAAAATGGTCAAGAACATGATATACTTCGTCGTCCTGTTGGCTGTCGTCCTGATGAGCTTCGGCGTCAGCCGTCAGGCCATACTGTACCCCAACAGCGAGCCAACTTGGCGGCTGATCAGAGAGGTAAGCCAGACGACATCTGCCGACATAAAAGCGGGTGTGCGATCGCTGAGAGCGATTCGCTGATTGTAAATACGTATGTATGTATGTACATATGTAGCTGTACTTGACGTCAAAACTGACCCATGTCCTGCTGAGAGTGATTGTGCGCGAGAGCTTGCCCCACTAAAACACACCCACCCACATATACTCTGTGTGTACTGTGTGTCCGTATGATCTGTGCACACTGACGCTGGTTTCTATTGCAGCTTTAAACTATGAGTCACGACCCGGAGTACATACATTTACTTAATAGCAAGAGAAGCAAGTTTTTGGCTTGAGTTCCTCAGTAGTGGTGCAAGCAGAACGTTAATACGTAGTTTTGGGAATTGCCCCGCAATTCGACTCACTTTTTTACCATTTTTAGCTTATGATAATTAGCTAACTACGACGATCAAAAGATCTTGTGAAATTTGATCAAACTAACGCTGATTTCAATTGATTGTATCTCGTATTGTATTCTTGTATTCTTCTTTCTTTCCATCTTTCATTTGTTTCTGGCGCATCAAATCCTTCATTTAATCCCATTTACATTTCACCCTACACTTACTCCCGCATATTTCTTGAATTTGCATTTGCCTTGATTCGTCTCGCCCTTCAACTTTTCCCAAATACCAAATGCCAGGTTATTGCCGGCTCAATTGTAGCCCCCGGATTTCCGGGTGCCCTCGGCCACAGTAGTCGCTCACACAATGCCCGCGGAGGGGGTTACGGATCCACTTTCAGCCCCGGTTCCTTTGCTGCCGGCTATCATCGCGGCCATGCAACGGCCTCGTCGCCCACGGCAACCGCTACCACCACCACCACCACGTCTACAGTGCGACCTCTATCGTCTGCAACAGCAACAGCACCAGAAACAGGCTCAGCTGCAACACCAGCGCCACATGCACCAACAGGCACAACTTTCAATTCGGCTGAGCATGGGCACTTGTCGGGCGGAAATTTAACAAATGTACAAATTAACAAAGATGAGAACAATAAATTGGTTTGCTATTTAGAGAGCCGATTGTAGCATGCTCTAGCCGCGTCCCCCCTTCGCGATTTACATAAGTGTGTTTGTGGCCAACTGTCTATAGATAGTCATTGTTGTGTCCTAATAAAGATCTGTGTGAAAATTTCAGTTTTTTGGATTCCCCAACCTCCAACCCTTAACCCCCAACCACCCTCTTACGTTCTTCGTTGGCCCCTTCTTTGATACTTCGTTTTCTATATACATGTATAGTGCCTTTATCCCCTTTTGCTCTGATCTCTCTCTCTCTGTCTCTGTCTCTATCTCTACCGCCCTTTTCCTCTCTTCTGGCCAAAAGCAAGAATTTTTGTATTATTTCCACTCTTAGCTCTAAGCCCAATCAAGTATATCAAGTATATTATGCATTTCCACTAGCATTAACAGGAGCGAATTCACGACCGTTCGTTCCCTCAGCCAAAAATGCATGCAACTCGGTTGAATTTGCAGAGATTTGTAAATAATTTGGTTCAATAGTACAGATTTTCAAATGTAAACTTCTGCATGATGTGTTCGCTAAACTCTTTGTTCTTGCATCCTTTAGGTAAATGTGTGTACTCATTGCGCTTGTAAATATTCATGCATATGAAACCTTATTTTGATTTATGCACCCATCGACTGTCAGCTTTAAGGTCTCCACTTCACTATTGACTTAATCCTTACACTCGTAGAACTACAAGTCTGTGTGTACATTCCTAGTATTTTCATATTGCATGCAAAATGTGAGCCCAACCTTGTGGGCGCATGAGAATGCATTGCCATATTAATTGTTCCCGTCGCATATTTTCCGTTCGGTTGACTTCAAACAAAGAGAAATCGAAAATATTCAATGTCGAGTCCAGCAGTTGTACAATTAATCAAGAAGGACAATGATTGCTGCGACTGTTTTATGTTTACTTTGACGTTTCAAAGAACCAATCAAGCCGTTCTGTTCCCCGTGATGATGCGATATGCAAATGAGGCGGAAAGTCGAATTCCCGCTATGACCCATAAAAAACATGTAAATAGCACGTAGCATGCTGCTTCTGATATGAAAAGAAAAACAGCCAGGACAACTACTAATCAAACTAAATTGCATCCCGCACACAAGCGCACAAACGCAAAAGACACAGATAGACACATGTATGTATTTGGGTGTACACACACATACATAGGTGTGCCAGTGATGGCTAAAATAACCAAAACTCTGTTTCGATGTGTAAACTTGCATTCATGTTGAGCCAAAGGCGAAAATTGAATTACCCTGGCCGTTTCTGGATCCGGCCGTTTCTTGCTCTTGCTCACCGTGGAGCGTGGAGCGTGGACGCCGCGCAGCAGTTGCCAATTTAATGGTGATTTTAATCTATCATCGTATCCTTGTCCAGGTCACCTACCAACCCTACTTCATGCTGTACGGCGAGGTGTTTGCCGACGACATTGACCCTCCCTGCGGCGAGGATCCGCGTCAGCCGGCCTGCGTGACGGGTAAGTTGGGCGACGTGGGCTCTGGCTCTCCGGCGGGAATGACCGTATTAATTTGATTACAGGCCATTGGGTGACACCGATAACGATGTCCATGTATCTGTTGATTGCCAATATTCTGTTGATAAATCTGCTCATCGCCGTGTTCAACAATATCTTCAACGAGGTGAACTCGGTGTCACATCAGGTACGAATGCGACAACTTCAAGGACTTGGCCGAACTCGAACTCCGAACTCGACTCAACCCAAAATCTTCTGATAATTGCAGGTTTGGATGTTCCAGCGATTCACGGTGGTGATGGAGTACCAGCAGAAGCCCGTCCTGCCGCCGCCTTTCATTGCCTTTTGCCATTTCTATTCCCTGCTAAAGTACTGTGTGCGCAAAGCGAAAGGTGAGCCAGGCATGAGCAAGTTTAGCTTTGTTCCCTGTGAGTCTATCATATCTGAATGCTTCATTCGATTGTACAATATCTAACTTCTCTCCCCGGCGTGCCTGCTCTAACACTCAACGTCGCTGTGTCTCTAACTCGGTGTCTAACCATATTACTTGCTCGTATACGCACTTCCATTGTATAAAATCATTTATGGAACATACAATACTCGTACAAAACAACAATAACAACAATAACAACGTATAATTGGGTTATGATGTACACAATGTACATACACTTTTCGTGAATTAATATTCTATTGTGCATTTCCCCCGGTGCTGCTGTTACTGTTGTCCATTGTATCGCTTTCCTGAATTTCAATTTGTTCTCTGCGACTCACATGTCCTCCTTATCGACTGTCCTGTCCCACAGGATTGGAGGTGCAGCGGGACAATGGTCTCAAACTGTTCCTGGAGAAGGATGACTTGGAACGACTGTACGACTTTGAGGAGGAATGCGTGGAGGGTTTTTTCCACGAACAGGAAATAATATTGAATCAGTCCACCGACGAGCGGGTGAAGAACACAACGGACCGGGTCGAGACCATGTCCCAGAAAATCGAGGACATCAATCAAAAGGAGAACATACAAACAGCTACGGTGCAGGTGCGTCTCCATCTCCTACACCCCTACCCTCCGCACCCTAGTTCAGAGCATCCTAATCTTTGGTTTGAATCTTTATTCAAATATCTAATACGATTTCTGTTCCCCGCATTGACATGGGTATTGGCACGAATGGAATTGAAAATGTCCATGGCCATGTCCATTCGGAACGTTCATTGTGCTGCTCCTCATGCTGCAGCTGGTGCACGCCTTTGACGGAAGCTTTCCTCACTCCGCTGTATTGTTTGTATTCTTTCACTTTATAGAACATTGAATTTCGTTTGCGGAAGATGGAGGAGTCGTCCGAACAGATACTGTCGCACCTGGCGGTCATACATCGCTTCATGTCTACACACACGGTAGGTACGGATGACATGCGCGGCTCCGCGATAAACATTCCAGCTGAAATCCATCGCATTCGCACCATTTCAATGTCGGATACCGATGGCGGCGGTGGAAGCTCAGGAAATGGAGGGGGCGGGGGTGGAGGCGCTGCAGTGCCGCTTGTTCTAGGTGCCGGCCTGAATGTCAATTCCTTGCAGGTTCGTTTTAGTTATTTATGTTTTCTCAGTCCTCAGTTAACCCGCTTCGAATTTATCGAACTAGGTGACCAACCGACGCCGCTTCAATCGCTCTCTAACGGAGGTGCGTCCAGACGCCTACATCCTCGACGAAGGCACCCACTTTGAGGTGGTGCCCTTGCCGGAGGAGCCGGATGAAGTGGTCAAGTCGCGGGAGGCCCTCAACGAGCAGGTCGTGCGGAAGGCATCGATGCAGTCGGAGGCAGACTCGGATATCTATCTGCCGTTATCGCAGCGTCCCTCTACCTGTGAGACGGTGAAGCGCACTCCATATGTTACTGTGCGCCAGGACACGGGGGCCAGCACGGAGAGTAAGGACACCTTGACACCTCTAGGCACCAACGATGACGACCAGACGCTCGTCGGGGGCGACAACTCCGATGATGCGGCACCGGACATCAACTTTGAGGGTAATTTCATAGCCGGCCACTAATCAACTGCTTCCCCGATTGCATTTGCTATCGTTCACTCTTTGTGTTGTGTTATGTTGCGTTGATCTGTTCTCCTCTACTGCTCTGTACTGTAATTCTCTGTACTGTAATTCTGTAGCGCAGTAGCGACCCTCTATAAAAGTATACTTCTAATCGCATACAGCTGCCAGGCATCGAGCGCTGCGCCAGCGCACAGTCTCGCTCTGCCGCCGCAACTCGGAAACCTATTCGCTGGCCGGCGCGGACATAAATCGATCGCACATTAGCCTTAACCAGCTGACAATGCTGTCGCGTCGCCAGATGAGCCTGACTCAGTCCGAGCCTGACAGTGACAAGGACGCGCCGCCAGCGGCTGCAGGCAGCACACATCCGGGTATGTATTGAGGCGAGAAACGATACACTTTCGCACCCGGCCACAGACTTGCGCTCTAAATTCTGGCTACTAACCCTCATGCCCTCCCAATAAGCCCATCATAACCCAACCACGATCCAACCAATCCAGCAAAACGATTTGGCCCCGTAAATTTGCATTACCAGCACTATTGTGCTGCACTATCTCTCGCACCCATTTTATCTCTTACGCATTCTCAACCTAACCACGAACTCCGAACTTTAGGTAAATCAGTATTGCATGCGAAACCCTCAAGAAATATCTTGCTGAAACTGCACAGCGAGTACACGTCGATCACTGATGAGCTGGAGAGCGTCTGCCACATGATTGCCTCGCCAACGGTCTCCCTGCAGAGTAACAAAGGTAAGCTTCGTGCAGAGCCTGGGGCGCACAAGGTCACAATTTGATTTCCCATTACCACTTTTCCGTAACGTAGCCGTAACCAGAGTCCAAGAGAAACCAATATGTATATCCGTGAGAAATGTGTGACAAACTAACCGGGTGATTGCTCACTACCGTTTCATTGCCTTGCTTTAGCCGCCTTCAAAGCAGCACCTGTCAGTCGAGCAGGTCTGCCGTTCCAAACTTTTACTATAAAATGTATCATTTTCTTCTGATAGCTTCATTGGATCGCCCCAAGACGGAAATGTCGCGCGCAGAAGCCGCGGCATTACAAGAGAAGAAGCATTTGAAGGAGTGTGAGGAGAACGATTACAGAATACTAGAGGGCCTGTTCGAGGCACGTGGATCCATCGATGCCAGCGCCGAGGCCTTTGAGGTATCTCTCATTCAAAAAGCATATCCATGATAAAACTTGTCCAATTCGTAATATTCTCGATATTCCTGAACAGAGCGTCATATCCGTGGACTACAGCCATCGCTATCCACTACGTCGAGAGACTGCCGTGGAGCTGTCGCCTTCGAAGCCCTCAGCTGAGGTTGATCTCATGGGGGGCGGCGGAGGAGGCGGAGACAGCAGCGATACAAGTGGAGCTGGTAGCTGCAGTGCCATGGGGGCAGTCTCAAGTGGGTTTCAGCTCAAAAACGAGCGCCCCTGGCAGCGCAACTCCTCAATGGAGCAGCAGGCATATCCGTCACCTCTGGTTCCCTCGAGAGCCACAAGCGACTTCCTCAATCCACCCTTCGAAAGCAGCGGACGCCTGTTTAAGAAATCGAGCGAAAGTCTGCAGAAGAACTCCAGTACTGAAACAGACTATTCTGCCCATCCGTATCGCTTCATCAAGCAGAGTTCCAACGAGACGAACACCTCGCTCACCGGCTCCTATAACGTGGACACGCCCTCACTTACTGCGGAGCCCTCTTTGGATGCCTGCGACTCGCATTCGGCGACGGGAATTTCCATAAGCGTTGGTGCTGCTGGCGGAACTGCCGCTCGTTACCAGCCCATTCGCACGACTTCCATTGGCGCGGCCGATGGAAGGCAGCTACGCGACGAGAGCTCTAGTTCGCTGCAGAGTCCAGAGCTCGGAGTCCAATGCTCGGCGCCAGTGACGATGCAGGCACCGCCAGCTGTACCAACACGCCCGATGCTGCTGAAGAAACAGTTTAGCCTCGACAAGGGCAAGCCACAGCAAGCGCAAATTACTGCAGAGGCTATGGCCACACCAGAATCGGGCATAGATGCAGCAACTGTTGCCCAGGCCAGGGTCAAACTGATTTCCTCGCTAAAGCCTCAGTCTCATACGAGCAAGCTGGGAATGAACGTACTCAAGGAAAGCAGCTCCAGCACAGAGGGGTCCCGCGAGGGCGAAGGCCTGTCCACTACGTCCTCGGCGAAAAACAGCAACCCGGCTCTCTCCATACCGCAGATTAGCACGCATCTGGTGCAAGATGAGATCGCCAAGCTGTCATCCAACATAAAAAGCAGCACTGAATCTGAAAAGGACCCGCCGTATAACGAGACAATGTGTTAGAAAAATTGAAGGTGAAGACCATTTCTGAATAGTCCAATTGAGGTTGGAAGCTGGAATATGTGTTGTATAGTCATCATATACTGTTACTTGTTGTTTAAGCTAGCCTGACTAGCACGGCTCTATAAAAATACTAATCATCGGAGCTCGGTGATAAGCTAAAGCCGCTGAAAAACTAGCACTGATGGAGGCATAGAATGGATGGAAGATTGAGACTTTCGAGGGAGCTGGAAATTAGATGCGAATTAATAATTTTGACAATACATAGTTCACAAATTGTCTGTATTTTTATAAAAGTATTTAACTAGAAGATTTCATTGTTGATACATAATATATACATATGCATACTTGGTACATGCGAAAACATGGATATCAATCAATATTAAAAGGACGCATTTCTGTGTGGAAATATATCTTTCACCTTAACAGAAGACATCTGTAGATACTTTCGAAATGCCACCAATTGCTAAAATTAGTGGTAATACATATTCAACACTCCTACAAATGCTTAGGCTTAGTCAGTGTTACTCGTACATATGCAATTTTCACGTAAACACACATACATATCTTGAGCAACTTCACTACTTTACCAGCCACGAACTTCTCCTAACCAAGCATATATTTATGTAGATATTTACACTTACCTTAACAAAATGTAAAACTCAATTCAACATAATGTACTTAATAGTATTTCTGTGAGCACCTTGAACCCATTAGTACGATCCCAACTACAATTTTCACTACGAAATCAAAGTTTTTATATACATATGTATTAGCATAGGTATGTGGCTGCCAGAATTATCTTATTGTGTGCGTTCTGCAAGGTTACCAGTTAGTTAGTCCATTTTACTTGTTCGTAAGAAATAACTGTGTGTATTCTGTGTATATAGAACTGCCTTTTTCGGCTGCTTTAGATGTCTCTGTGTATATCAAATAAATGTTGCTTTAAATTATCGCAAAACTTTTAATGTTGGGCCACATTGTGCGAAAACTATAATTAGTCTTAAGAGATATGTAATTAATTAATATAGCTGTGCATTTGATTGAAGAACTACTGATTCTAGTTATTATATATCAACTTAAAATACACTTATAACACTAAGCATTTTTAAGGAAGAAGTCCCAACTTGTCGAAGTTCTGTTCCGGCTGTTTTCGACCACAACGCCACATAAATCAACATAAACTGTCTATTATTTCTAGTGCGCTCACGAAACGCTTTTAAAAACTTCGTCTTCTTTCAATATAAAAATCACTTTTCTTAATTGCTACATGTGGAAATTGTGTGGAAATTTAGATATTCTACCTGCGCACTTAAATAACACACACAAGTCAAATCAATCAGTTCCGTCTGTTACGAGCCATCTTTTTGTCATGTAATATAAAATGAATTTTTATTTAATACTTCTTCTAACATAATACTATAAGAGTTTATACAAAAGCTGTATTGTGCGCAAAATAATCTAGTTTCGGTTTTACAGTTGTTTACACATTAATAAAGTCTTTTACGTCGCCTTGTAACGTTACTTAGAACTAGTAAAACTATTCAAAAAATGTATTATTACAAATGTTTAATAAATATTTACAACAAATGGCAATCAAGTCTGTGTTGCACACGAGGCACTTTTTTATATAAAATAGTTGTCGTTAAAATATAAATTGCAAGGCACTTATCGTAGACCACTAGGAAGTCAAACCAACAAGAACATTCAATGCTTTCGCGGTTTAAAAGTTGCACCCTTTCATATAAATTGTGAGGACTATCGTAAATCGATTTCGCTTTCTTTTTAAATGCATGTAGAACACACATACTTAGTAAACATACAATTTGTAATGGCGTCTTCAAGTAATAATATTAGGATTTGGTATCTGCTGAAATTTGCAGCTTGTTTTCGGCCAAACTCTTGAATAAAGTTAGTTATTACCGTCGCAATTTAGGTTCTCAGCCTCGGGTTCGTCGGGGCTCTGCTTCACCAGTCTATTCAGTTCTTCCTTTTTGGCTCGATTGAAGAACCCGAACTAAAATAGGACGAAACAAAGCTGTGAGTTAGGGCCTTAAACATTATTTACAATGGGATACACACCTTATAGAGGGCATAGCTTATCGCTGAGAGCAAAAGCAAGCCACCGATAATGGATACAATTATGATCCAGATGGGCAGGCGTGACTGCAGATGTTTGGATATCACATTTGGCTCAATCTTCCGATTGATGGAATACGAGCTGCCGGACAGGTCTCCCTTCTTCAACAAGTCCAGATCGGTCAGGATGACAAAGTACTCCCATGGATCCAATAAAATGGCATTGACTTCATTGAGGTCAACAGAGTAACGAACATTCAGGTTGACAGGCTTATCCGCTCTAAAGTTGTAGACACGCATCTCGGCTCGGATGCAGATCGTCATGTCTGGATCCCTGCAGTTAAATACAATTGTGCGATTCACCGGCAACTTGCCCTTAAAGTCCTCGCTGAGCAGGTCGTGCGCTTTGGCGTTTGAGATGCGAGCGTACTGCTCGCGGTTGGCAGTCACCGCTTTGAGATCACGCCGCTTGCGCGTCATGGAAGCGGTAGCCACCATATCAGAGTCCAGCTCTTGCCAAGACTGGTGTATATGACCACTAGTGGTAATATCGTATCCCTGTCCATTCTGTCTAATCACCGTTCGCTCCGTACTCTGGATGCCGCGCGTGGAGGAAATTTCTATTGGATCTAGGATGAGCATGGTGTTGTTCTGATCGAACAGCTCTATACCCAGCAGCTGAGCATCGTAGGTAGCCTGCATCTTCAATGTGGTCATGTTGATGATGGGTATGATGGCAGTTGATCCAGCAATTTTATACGCTATAGGTATATGAAAGGACAATGTCAAGTCGTCGATAATACTGGGGCCATTGCTCTTAATCTCGTAATTGTTGATTATTTCCGCGGAGTTTTTGTAGTGTTCCAAGTCAATTTGGCCATTTATTTGGCCCCTGTCAAAAGACAATAGAAACTTATGTTAATTCTTTGCCTGTACAGGCCACACGTTCCTTACCCAGTGGCGTCTATCTCGGTGTACTCCCTCAGGCTGATCACATTGGTCTGCCTGTTGTCCATGGGATTCTTTTCATATCCCGTACTGAACACCTCGGCGTTTATTATAAGTGCTAACCCACTCAGAGAGCTTACATCGAAGCTAATAGTAATGCCATCCCTATCTCCCTTGGCCAGCGGTCGCCCCCGGTTCAGATCGCAGACCATTCCAGTGTCGCTAACCCGGCAATTGCCCGGTATCTGAGCAAAGCTCAAGTGGGGCACGCTCGTCACATTGAATTGTGGCAGATAGGCGGTCTCTCCGTTGTTGGTGATCTCGTAGTTCAAGCGGAGAGTATTGCCACTCCCCAAGGTGTAGGTAGGGCTATAAAATAAGAATCTGTTAGAATATTACCAAACTAAATGGAAACTGATCGGGGTTACCTCACATCCTTGCTTTTCAGTTGTAAGTCTGCAATACAAATATCAGTTGCGCAACCCGTGCTGAATATGATCTTCTCAGTGTAGACCTTCGGCTCTGCGGGATCAACAGCGACACAGGTCTCGCAGAAATCTTCAAAATTTTGGGAAATTTTAATAATAATGACACTGTACCATTTTAAAAGCTTTGATCTCACCCTCAGAATCAGGGACTTTCTTTGTTAGTTCGTATTGCATCTCCAGTTCGATGGGTGTGAATATGTCCTTCTCGCTGTAGCGCACAACGCACTCAAAGACTCTGCACTGCTCAGTCAGTCCTGCGTCGACTGTGAAGCTCATTTCATGGCTTTGAGTCTGAGTAAACTTGGCCCGTTTCAACTGTGAATCGATGACGATGCGTATGGTCATCTCCTGCTTCTGGACTGCCGGCGCTGTGGCCGTTGTGGTTATTCCGTAGCAGGCTGTGATTGCCACCTTGTCCTGCTCCGGCTTGATTTCACGCGACTGTGATTTTACAGTAGCTTTTAACCTGACAACGGGATAGGCACGATACAAATACACGGCCTCAGCATTTGGAGCTCCGATTGCAAAGTCATTAAATCCATTGCCGTCGATGTCGGACCCACGGGAGAGGCCGTGGCCAAACATATGTTCTCCATACTTTGAAGGTTTGCCCGAAGGCGCATCCAGCCGCTGACTGGGCTGGCTCCGCAGACCGTGCTCGCTACCCAGGTAGATGAAAACCGATCCATTTCCCGCAAACGGCGCCCCGACAGCGATATCTGTTCAAAAGCGGAAACGAGCTAATTAAGCCAGTCCGAAATAGATGAAAGGACAACTACTAACCATTGTAGCCATCGTGATTAATGTCTCCCAGGCGGGTCAGCGTAGTCCCGAAGCGTGCCTTGCTGGCAATGGGCGATCGCAGCAGTTTCGACTCAAAATTGAACTGCAATCGATAGCATTTTGGTTATTGGTTGGGTTATATTAGGTTAGTCACGTTATTACGGTGCCCTAACGAGGCGGGGCTCACGAAGCCATACTCATACTCACAAAGCCCTTGTTGATAAAAACATAGATGGCACCGTTGTCGTGCGAGTCTTCCTGGGAGTGTTGGGGGGCTGAAATCACCACATCCGTCCTTCCATCGCCGTTGAGATCCTCGGCGAGGACCGAATAGCCGAAGTACTCCCCAAACTGCTCTCCACGGAACACGTGGAATTTCTTTATGGTCTTGCCCAGAACATCGAATATATATGCCTCGCCGGATTGTCTGTTGGCCTGCGGAGCGGTGGCCACGTACAGCAGAGTGGTTAGGTTCGTGCTGTCAAAGTAACCAGAGGCCACAGAATAGCCAAAGTAGGAGTCATCCTGTTGACCCCAGTTCTGTGGCTTGGGAATTTCCGGGACAAAGTTGTCGGGTGTGTAGTCATTGGAGTCGCTTTCCCGAGTCTTTCGGCGCAAAGCGCTGCTCGTGTCGCGCCGGCTGACGCTTGGGTTTTCTGCAGGGTCCACTCGCCCATAGAGTATCACCGATCCCTTCCAGGTATATATGCCCGGGGCACCAATTAGAAATTTGCTGTTGTCGTCCGAAACATGAGCACTCAGTCCCAGCTCGCCGAGTATGTAGTAGAAGTTGATTTCGTTGTTCTCCTGCACCACCTGATCCGTCTTTAGCCGCAACGGGGAAATCCGATTGACGTGCTCCGGACTGCCAGCCAGGGTGTTTTTCACCCAGTAGCAAACTCCATGCATATGGTAATCCTTTGTGCTGGGAGCATAAAATCGCGGGGCGCAAACCAGAAGCTTGTCCGCGTCGCTAGTGCCGCCGTCCATCGAGCCACCCAGCCACTGGAAGTCCTTTCGCTCCGAGTCGTAGGTGTACTCGCTGAACGGAGCGTCTCGGTTTCCATTGGGATCGAGGACATATGGGTTGCAGGAGCCGGTACTCAAGGAGCACCTGTAAATGGCGCCGGTCTCATTGATCTGGCGCTGTGACTCCAGGGACGACTGGGCGCGCGGGGCTCCTACAATGACACTGAAACGAGACAAGGGGAATCGAATTAGTCAGACTTTGGAGGCAGTTATTGTCTATGTATCATTCATTAGTCGATTTTTCCGTATAAATTTCTCTCAAGTGGAAAACGAGATAGCATATGAGACTGCCCATCGGGTGCGGTTTCTGCGGGCAATCACTAGCGCTTTTAACTTAGCGGCGTTTGACTGTGGCAGCAGGCAATCTTATCGTAAAGCGCAGAAAACGGAGCTGGCAATGTTGGTTGATAACAAATTGGCATTGACTATTTGTTTAGCTTGAAAAGAACGAGTTTTGATGCCAAAAATTTGACATAGTACATCCGACAAAGGTACGAACGTGCGACAGAGCGAATATTTGCATAGTTTCCAGCTCTACCCGCTGCCACCGCTCCAGACTCATACACCCACCCAGTGGGGGCAAGGCAGAGCAGTCACCTCCTCGTTATGTGTAGATAATTGATATCGAGAGTATGACTTCATCGTTTGCACACGGTCTTCAACGTTTTGCACTGAACTGTGCTTCTTTGTCGCTGAACCTCTCCTCTCAACAATTTCATTCACTTTTACTACTGCTACTATTTCGGAGTTCGATTGCCGCCAGCGTGAATCATCCGAACGCAATGCACAACCTGTTTACTCTAACGGACGGTCCTCTCGCTGTCGCTGCCCGCACCCAGCAGCTCCAAAGTCGCGGAGTTTCAGAGCTTCCAGAGTCTTCCCCGCCCACTTACCCATTCGGTCGCAGGCTCATGGTATAACCAAAATATGACGCACGCACTTTGGGCAAAGCGGTGGCGAACTGTGGATCGTTTATCTGCCTATTCGGACGAGGGGATAAGTTAAAGGCCCCTACGCTGCCCGCGAGACAGCAGAACAGCAGCAATACATCCCGAGTCAGGATCGACAAGTGACCTTGCAGCGCCATATCCGCACTTGTAGGTAACTTGTATAAGCCTTTTCGAAATATTGTTTAAATATACTGGTTAAAACTAGACAACTTCGATTTTAGGTGTACTATCACTATCACGCTGTCTTAGCACTAGCACTGAATGACGTGGAGAACCGCGTCCGCATCGAATGAAAGATGAAAGTTGAATAATCAAGTACCCGACCCGACCACCCGACGACTACCTCAATGAGAGCGCGAGCGCAAACGCGAACGCGAGGTGTAGAGAGCCCGACTGGGCCAGTTTGTGCCGTTGCTGAGAGAGAACCAAACCTCTCTCTTTCCTCTCACTGATTACTCACTTTACCGTTGTCGCTCATCCAGATTTCGAAATCGGTTCGCGGGAGAGCTACTGCTTCGAGGAGTATCTTTGTCAATTTTTAGACACAATATTAGTGATTTTAGCGAAACAGATTCATTGCAATCATTACACAAGTGGGTGGGTAGTTTTCGAACAGCCTCACGCCTGATTCATGCCGGATTTAATTGATACGAACTATTAAGATATCCAATATCTGTGTTTTTCCTAGTTTTGTAAGCTGAAAAAACTCCTCGGATTAGTCAGCGCCAATGACGATGCCCAATGGTCCCTAGGGTATACATACATATGTACATATGTAGATACGATTATGCTCGCCAACATTATAACAAAGTAGCTAATGTGACAACACCGGTTGCGAGACACAGGCATATGGCACCGGGCTACCGGCTCCAAAATGTCTTAATGCTGAGGAAAAGGAAAGGGAATGAAAACAGCCAGCCCAGTTTTGTTTTTGTTTCAACGAAGAAGTCTGGATGTGCGATATGTGCTGAGCGGAACTTCTTGTTCCGTTGTTCCCCAAGAGTGAGTCATACCATGTAGACTGTCTCACACGCATACCCTACCCCGATCCCATGCCTGGCCCTTGTAAGTGCACCGAAGATGCTCGCTTTGTTTAAACAATGAACTGTTTATTTGAATGGGCAACAAGCCACGTTGGGACCACACAAATCTTCGCTCCATCGTCAGCGACATGAGTTCAGGAGCAGCGGCCAACAAATGTTCAAGAACAAAAGCTACCCCGCTACCCTGCTGCAGCGATTTTGGTTTGTTGGTTTTTTCGGAATCGGGTTTAATGACCAGGAGAAAAGCGGCTAAAAATATTTGTGTGGTGTCAAGTCGGTGTGGGAGGGGAGGAGGAACTTAGGCATGGGCATGGGGATGGATGAGGCGCCGCTGCAATACAGAATGCAGCTGTTGCGTTCGCCGACGCCGTAGTACCCCCATTACTCGGATTCTGATTGGAAACTTGTGTGACTCATGCAGCCTGTATTGGTTGCATGGCGACACTCATTTCCCCGTGCAGTTTTTTGCCAGTTCGGACTCGAGTGACCACAGTCCGTGGAAATGGTAATATGTTTATACTCGGTACCCCGCTGCTCTCCAGGAAGCAATAGAAACGAACATTAGTTTTTAATTTTGGTCAACTTCAATTGATGTGAAATAAATTGCAGCTTGCCGTGATTTTACGCGCAATTTCCGTATATAATTAGGCTAGAGTACTCCATGATGGCAGCAGTAATTTGTACCTGGTAAAGTACCAGCAATAAAAAAAAACTAGGGAACTCGGGAACGGTTGAAGAAATTGTACCAAGTAGCCTCACAGGTTTTTTGTGGCAATGGTAAATGGTGTAATATGGTACAGCTTCTAACGAGATTAACAAATCTCTGTTTGATTCTAAGCCAATGAAAATGCAATTCTAAAGATATGAATCAATCATTAATCTTTCTTCAATTAACATAAATACTTTTGCATGTGGGTGGATTTGACCACACATTGATAATTCTCTTCAATAATGTTTAGAATGAGAACGAACCCATAAAAGAAGAGTATCTCGTATCTCGTATTACTTGTGCTTAAAACTTTCTGATTTGAGCCGTCCTCTGAGGTGTGTGATGTCATTTCTGAGCAAAAGTCGCCGCCATCAGGTCTACATATCATATGATTCGAAGTACCTATGTACATACCTACAAAGTATGTAGGTCGCCCAAAAACACATAGAAAAGTGTTGGAGTTTGTCAGTTGTGTGGATCGTCGCCGAAGCCGAGACTTGATCTCGGATCTGTGGCAATTGAAACTGATGGCAATTGAAGCCAGTTTTTTGTTGTTATTTTTAGATATTGCTGTCTGAAGTGATATTGTTTTTGAGTGGTTTGAGAGGGGCTGAGACTTTCCTACTCTACTTGTATTATTAGTTGCTGGGGCATGTTTATGCAGCTGCCCAGTCGAGATTGATGGCGGGGAAAAGATATCCACTTGCCGCCATGGAGCCATTTACGATTGCGGTTTTAGCACGCTACTCGTCAAGCTGAAAACAAATAAAAGTGGCTCTACCAGAACTTTTCTAATTTTGTCAATCCCATCTTTAACACCTCCAAACTATTTACTCGTACAGTACATATGTATGTGTACATATGTGTACAGGTCTCAACTTTTGTTTCCATGTGCCACAAGTCTTAAAATATTGACAAAGGTGGTGACTCAAAGTACGGAATTGAAAAGAATTGGTTGTCTTTAAGCAAATCAACCGAACGGAAGGGAACGTATGCCAGTTATCGAAATGTGTGCATGGTATATATTCACACTGGGCCGGGGTGTTTGTCGAATTATTTACATATGTACAAACATTTCACTCCCCTGCCTCTATGCAACTCACCTGGTTGGACGTATCACCAGGGTGTATCCAAAGTAGGAGCTGCGCGTTTGGTTCAAGTGAAAACGCAAATGTTGGGGGGCGCCTAACACTAGGTTTGCACGCGGCGAAAAGTTAAAGGCATCAACCAGTAGGCCTGGCAGCAGATGCAACTGCAGGGACAGCGACACGAGTATCCAGAGACGGCAGATATCCATTTTAGTTGAAGTTAGTGATTGAAATTTCATCGAAATTCATTAAAAATTAAATTATGCTCATTCGTAATTTCTCTTTAATTTATTTCGCGCTCTGCGAGCTCCGACATGCCATTAAATCACAGTTTTAAACAGATTCGCTCAGTCACAGTGACACAAGCCACTCGAAAAGCAGGATTTAGTACACATTTATTTATGATTTATTGAATTTAATTGACGCTCTCTACGCACACACTCGGGCACTTTATATTCGCATTGACGTTCGCTTATGTTAGCGTTCTCGCGAATTTATATTTATTAAATAAAGCCCGGCGAAGTCTCGCGCTTTCTTTCGGTCCGCTCTCAGATAGATACATATGTATCTACTTCTGCATGCTTGAGAGATTGAAACGAGGGAAACTGGTGTGATGTGATATCTGTCGCTGAGGTCGTGCCAAGTTGTAAGCTTTAATAATTACTGGTTTATATTATCTGCACAAATATGTTTTATTTCCGTAATCGCTGCCGCAACGCTAAATACAAACTAAGACGAGATCATGCGTGCAACCGAACTTTGTACGTCTTTTCACTCCCCGACGACTCCGAACCGAATGAATTGCGCTCGTGCTGCCGTCGCTGCCTCGGACTGTCTGGTGCTTGACTGTATTTGTCCACCCTACATATTTGTCAGAAGCAATGCAAAGTTCAAACGTATATTTATGTAAATATGGCATATTTTTAACTTTAATCAGTGCTTGTTTTGTTTGTGGTATTACCACAAACACAAGAACACTTGGAACTCAAGACCAGTAAATAAGCATTGAAACACATGCATACATGCAATACCAACGTGATGATAGAATCTGGAAGAAATTTATGCCCTTCTGAAAGCACTTTCTCCAGCGAAGTACCATATTGCACATGGTTGTTCCAGATTGTTTTCGACCATTTCGTACGGTGGATCTTCTTGTGTGCATTGCAGGAAAGTGTGAGAGCCTGTGTACAATACAAACAAATTCGCCTCTTTACAGTCACCATGGAGAGGGGACTGGACTGTATAATTCGTATTGATCGGCGAGGGCTTTTACTCATTGCGAGCTGTACTCTTATGTGCATTTAAGATCACACATATTAAGTTATAATTAATATTTACCATGAGTATGAGACACCCCATCCCTTCGTCCATCGTCCATCGCCCATCGCCCATTGCAAGCGCGACAGTCAGCGTGCAAATGAAAATGAAAAGCATATGACTGACATAAAGGATGCCGATCACGATTCTGATGTGGGTACACACCCGAAAAGTGCAGCTTATGGGGCTGCCGCTGTCATTGAACTTGGGGCAAGCTATATATGTACATATACAAACATAGATACAATAATGAAACTGCTTATCAGCTGGAACCTAGCTCGAACATGTACATACATGCATGCCTCCATGTGTACAAAAACATGCACAGACATACATACATATGTACCAGAATTGGGGTAGGTTTATTTATGATTCGGTGTCATGAAATTATACTAGTATCTACGAGGGTTCAGCGGATCAATTAGAGCGATCTCACAAGCATACAGTACAACAAATACACCATTCCGAGTGGCCGGACCTGATAAGCGGACAACCGCATTTAGTTCGGTTCGTTCTTGGCTGCATGGTGCATGGTGCTCAAGCGTGGGGGTCGGCTCTCAGTAATTGAATTTGTATGCAGTTTATCAAGACAATTGAAAAACAATAAAAGCCAATAGAGGGAAAGTGCGTTTCAGGCCTCAGCGTCTGCTCGACTCTGCTGATAAGACCACGCACAACAGATTTCCCCATTCCCAATCGACATGGTAAATGGTTTCTGCCTAATTCATAAATAAAGTTCTAGTTAGAAGTTGTAAACAACCAATAGTTTCACACTTTGGTTTATTCCCCAAACACAACGTAACGAAAAAAGCTCAAAATCCGGAGAGATCAAGGAAAAGGGAAATATCTGATGTTTCCAGATGGAAACATTAGAGTGGTAAGTGCTTTTGGCCGCGCTCCACCCCACCGTTTTTTTGGCGTCGCTGATATTGATATTGAAACGCTTTTGTAATTATGCGGCCGCCAGCCGATTTGACAGCAATTATGTGCCTGCCAACAACACAGCACACAACGCAAGTGCAGTAGAGCACTGAAACAGAAACAACTGCTCCCCTGAGGGGGCAACAGCCACAGCGGCACCTGCTGTTGCGCGGAGTAGGGGAAGGAAGGGAGGGGAAGTCATGATGTAGCGCATAATTGAAGTTCATGACCCAATGGTCGACGTCAGACGCCCCCTCGTACGCGTCGTTTTTTGGAGCCAGAGCAGCTATTTCAGTACGGCTGAAAACGGGAGCACCAAGTGCAGACGCACACTTCTCAAGGCGCAAATTGAATGGTTGAAGTGAGTTTTAGCTTCGAAATGGGGTGCGAGTATGGGATGCAGTTGCCACTCTGTCAATAATTATCTGTCGTCACACTTGGCGGATGTTTAAGGCTCGACCACATAACTCCAGCTTGTGACGATTGCACTGCAAGCTGCACTGCATTTATCAGTGTTACTTGCCAGTACCGCGATTGCTCCGCAGTGTAGTCGGAGTCATGCTTTATTCAAAGCATAAATATGTGCATGTAGATAGGTAGAAGCTCAACCCAACGTTAGCTTGATGCGCAGCTGTGACAATGCTGTGAGGCAGCACCTTATTTGGGCACGGCACACCGGGGGACTTATAAATATCAAAAGGAAATCAATGCAGGTGTGCTCGCTTCTGACGTCATATAAGACGGATCGCTTTGTTGAACACATCAAAGGCGGACAAGTATCCCCTTAACGTCGAGGATGGGATAGGATTATTACAGTGTGTTCCGCGAATGTCTTTGGAAAGGTCAATAAAACTAAATGACCAACCAACCATCAACCCTTTTAAATGAAGGCCCAGCGCCGGCGTTAGGTTCTGCTCATAAAAAATGGGTGTCCGCAACTGATCTAGTGACCTAGTTGAAACCAAGAGTGAAAGAGTAGCCGGCTCTAGCACGCAACAAACACAGACGTCGCCGCCCACATAATGATACCTTTCAAGCGAAAATATCAGTCATAAAGTGTCTGCTGAAACACTTTCACAGCGAGCGGACAATGAGTATCAATACAACGGCCTTCCGGTGTGCCGGCGCCCCGCTTCAAACTGTCAAATCCAAATAGTGTCACACACATATCGAGTGTAATACGAGATGGACAAGCCATGTAGGCCCATACTGTATGTAATTGATACTTAAGTTGATCAAAAAAATTTGTTCACAGATTTTGGCTGACGGTCAACAGAAGCAATCTCGCATTTCAATTGTGGCAAAGTCAAACCTCATTGTTTGTCCGTGATGAGCGAACACGGCACTCGTTTGTTACGTTTGTCACGTTTTCGTCGTAAAATAATCAAACTATCTTTATGCTCTTTAAACATCACATAAAAATTATATTGCAGCTTGTCGCTGATGTTCCTCGCTCAGAATTCTGCTGTTGATATGCTGATACTGCATTTAAAATTCATATCATGAGGAGCTACATTAAAGAGCCATCTCTCTACACTGGGGCGTCCCTAAAACACCGACAGCTGTGTCTTTGGGACTTCGAAATGATAGGATTCTTTTTATATATATTAATATTATATTAAAAAGCAGAGAATACGCCAAAACAAGCAGTATGAGGGGTCGGTAGCGCAGTCGACGAAGCAGCTCAAGCAATGCAAGCAGTACAAGCACTACATACGTCATTACACAACATCTATTGCAGCAATCCAGGCAAACAATGACTTGAAAGGCGGACTGCATCGCACCCCCCAACGTCATCCCACCAGGAGCTACATATGTACATCACAATCTCAAAAAAGAGGTCGAAGAAGAAGCTGGTCCGCATCTATAAAGAATCACTTACTAAAAGACACTTTTGTGTAATTATTATCTTCCCATTTCTCAAGAATTTTGAGTACTAGTAAGCTTTCTAACCATTGGGGTAACATGGGTAAAAAACAAGGCAAGTTTAATTAGCACCAAGCAGATTTTAGAAGCGGTTGCTCAACAGCGCATGGAATCGAATCTTTAATCAGAAACAATAGTCAAAATAAAAATCGTTGGGTTTGACCGGGTGCCTAGAGGATTGTTCATCCAGGGTCAAACAGGGATGCCTCCTGTCGCCGCTACTCTTCGCGCCTTATTTGGACGACCATCTTGAAAGAGGACTAAGTATTGGAGCAACTATCGTAAGAGTTCGCCTAGATGCCGATGACATAGTTATTCTAGGACAGACCAAAGACATTCCAATGATGATAGGGGTACGATAGGGGGAATGGACGTTAGACAAGCTAAATCAGTAATAATGGTGTACCGGAGTGGAGGGAGACTAGCAGCATGAGAAAAAAAGTTATTTCAATTTAATTATCTTCAAGTTCTCTCTGCCCACTATGGGCATCAAAAAGCACGTTATAGCCCAAGCTAAAGAAGCTAAGGGAAGCTAAGCTTAACTCAGCGTGGAGTGAGTAGCTTCGTAAACAGACGAAATGCAAGCCTCAGCTCAAAATGGAACGTTTTCGAAGTCATAGGCTGAAGTATTCTTTGTTACGTTGCACAAGTGAGGGGAGGGAGACATTTGAAGGGAGGATACTGCAGAGATATTTCGCAAAAAGGATACTTAAATTAACCGACAGTTCAAAAAACTACATTTTGGCGATCGACCCAGTGCTGGAGGAGGGGCAAATAGACAGCTTAAGTCTTCACCTATGATATTTGTATTGGCGATCTTCGATATTCGCTCTTCGAAGCAGTAACCTCACTCTTGTTTGGCGGTTCTTAAAAGAAACATCCAGGAACGGCGCATCAACATGGCTTACACTAGGTAAACCGGTTGCCGGGCTTATAGACTCCTGGTCTGCCTTTGCCTTTGCAATCCCTACGCCTTTGCCTTTGCAATCCCTACTCAAACCAAATTGTCAATTAATTAAGAACTTTAAATTTTCGCGACCGAAAAGAGAAAGGAGAACAGGAGATTGGATAAGGGAGGCCAAAGGGAACGGAAAGGTGCAAGAACACCCGCCATACAATGATTCTGAAATGCCACATTTGAAATCACAGGATCCCTCCAACAAGGACGGAGGCCGCAAAACTAAGTTTATTTAGAAAAATGGCTATTCCAATAATTTACAAGAACGATGCTTGTAGCGCTTTTAACAGATAATTTGAAATTTTTGTATGGCGCCATCTATTGCTCAGAGAGAAAAGCGAACGATAAAACAAATTCTCTGTGGGAAATTCATCCTGACCTGTTAGAGGACTTTCCGCCCGAAGGCTGCCGTCCAAGAAAGAGCCAGGATGCTCAAGTGAGAGGTGCTACTAATATTTGGTTAAGTAGGATTTTGCATAGTGTGAAGTGGATTGGGTAAAATTTTGGTTTCCGGCAGTGTTTGCTCGCCGAGCAGTGGCTATGATATTCCCGTCCCTATGCCCTTTTAATTATTTACCATCCACAGCATTGTTGCTATATTTAAGGTCTAATATATATCTATTTATTCTGTTTTTTTACTTATTTTATATAATCAATGTTTTTGTTTTGTTTCTGTACGTTTATAACCCATGGGAAATGGTAAAATTTTCTTTTAGTGAATAAATGTATTTTATAATGTTCTAAACAGCGTAGAGTTTTAAATTTTACTGCCTGGGGGCAGGCTGGCCAATGGTAGGGAGGACAAGTCCGGCCTGAGATCGAGGCAGACTAACAGAACCAGCAGAGGCAAACTGATTGAGTTCTTCTCTCGTTTTTTTTGGGGATATCGAAATCAATGTTAAGTGGTATTCTCTATCCCGGAAATTTAGCTTCTCCCTACCGCGGAAATCATTTAGAAGTAATAATGAAGGAAGACGAGCCTCAGTCGGAGTATCCCGAGAGCGCCCCTCGCCCATGCCCAAAAAACAAAAGTAAATCTCCCACGCAGCAACATCTTTCCTTTGGATGATTAGATGAAGAGGTCTCTGTAAATTCTGGGGCATGAATTTCCTTTTTCTTAATATTTTTACGAAATTTTGGACGGGTTTAATGCAATGCGGAACAACCAAATAAAAGAGCGCTGCCATTTCATCGTAAAATATAAGTTTAACAGCTTTATGAAACCTCGCACGATCAACAAATACAATTTTTGACTGCCTATTTTTAGGAGGTAATTTCAAATTAAACTTTGATTTTTACAAATGAAATAACTGCGGCTGCCTTTCTGCTGTTCTCCCGCCAGGAGCACATTGGCCGCATCTCGATCGTGCAAAGGTGGCTCGTTGGGCCGGATGGCATTGTCATTGCTATCGACTGGTTGGTCGACGTCTAATGTTGTGCCGCTCCCGTTGTACGGCAAGAATATCTGTGCTGTTCCTTTTTCAATGGACAGTTTGGCCATTCGCACTCCCGCTGGATCGGTTTGCAGGATTTCCTCGGCGAGCATTTGAAGCTGCCGTGCGTATATCGCATGCCAAAGCAGCGCCAAATTGTTCAATGCTAGTGAACTCAAACTCAAATGCCTGGAATCAGAACAACACTGTTGAAAATCTTTAAAATTACATTGAATGTAATTTGTACCTGTACGCTCCTTCAAATCACCGCCTGTACAAAAGATGTCCGGTGTGAGACCCAGTTAATTCCGTCTAAGATTTCGCTAAAGGCATCATATGTGGAGGATCAAATGCTTTTATTTCTATTTGTGTTTGTGCGCTGTACTAGACAAGATAAAATTGATATTTTCTGGAACCGAATATTAAAAGCGATGAATATGACGGAACTTTTAAGAAGAATAGAAAATGTTATGTCTCAAATGTTATAGTATAGTAATTATAGTAACATTAAATAAGATTAACCTTTTAAAATTTTAAATCTTGTTGGATGTTAACGATCAAATTTACCACAAGAATTCCACAAGAATTTTTAACAAGAATTCTTGTAGTAAATGAGCTCCAAAAGTTGTGTCATGCACAAGCACACACATACAGCTACTACTTACCCGCATTTCAGAAACGGAACGCATCGCTGTATGCGTGTGGGAAACACTCTTATGCGCGTAAAACTGGGTGCTTAAACTGGAATAGACATACATATAATGCATTTCCATAATAGGAAAAGTTATGGTATGAATGACTATGAAATATGAACTATAGAAAACTCAAATAGGCGGCTAATATCTCACCAAAAATATTCAAAAAATTACAACTAAAATAAAAATATGTTAAATATATTAGTAAAATCAATTTACATAGGATCTACTGATCCTACATAGGATTAACAGAGTCTGAGGAGATAAATGATTCATAATCCTTCTTTAATTCCAGATGGAAGGCAGTGAACGCCTCTTGGCCTTCACTATACAGCCCTTCCACTTTACCATCGACATCTTGGGCGGCTGCTTTTTATACCCGATACTCATAATGAGTATTGGGGTATATTAGATTTGTGGTAAAAGTGTATGTGTGTAACGTCCAGAAGGAATCGTTTCCGACCTCATAAAGTATATATATTCTTGATCAGCATCAATATCCGAGTCGATTGAGCCATGTCTGTCTGTCCGTCTGTCCGTCCGTCCGTCTGTCCGTCTGTCCGTCCCCTTCAGCGCCTAATGCTCAAAGACTATAAGAGCTAGAGCAACGATGTTTTGGATCCAGACTTCTGTGATATGTCACTGCTCCAAAAATATTTCAAAACTTTGCCCCGCCCACTTCCGCCCCCACAAAGGGCGAAAATCTGTGGCATCCACAATTTCGACGATACGAGAAAACTAAAAACGCAGAATCGTAGAAGATGACTATATCTTCTAGAGTGCAAAATCTGAACCAGATCGTATAATTATTATAGCCAGAATCACGAAAACAATTTCACTCTTTCTTGCTCTGTCTCACTCTAACACAAAGGTTTCATGGTCGGTTTTGCCAATTGCAAAATATGAGTTCAAGGATCTCAGAACCCATAAGAGCTAGAGAAACCAAATTTGGTATCCACACTCCTGTGATATCGGACCTTGACCGTTTCGTGTCAAAATTTCGCCACACCCCCTTCCGCCACCGCAAAGGACGAAAATCTGAGGCAACCACAAATCTCAGAGACTATTAAGGCTAGAGTAACCAAATTTGGTACACACACTCCTTTAAGATGTCAATATAAAACGTATATCTCAGAATTTCGCCCCACCCCCATCCGCCCCCACAAAGGACGAAAATCTGTTGCATCCACAATATTGCAGATTCGAAAAAACTAAAAACGCAGAATCATAGAGAATGACTATATCTATCCGGTTGCTGAATTTGGATCAGATCAGATAATTTTTGTAGCCAAAAGGAACAAATCAATTTGCATTGGCTATGCAGCGCCCGACGTCACGCTCAGACTGATTTTCTGTCTCTCTCGCACACACTCTTTGTCGTGTCGCTTAATATTAGCGCCATCTGCCGGAGGAGAGCCATACTGACTTAGTATCGGGTATAACTGTAGAGTTGCGGTGTCCGCAGCAACTCACAACGTTCCCCCTCGTTTGGACTTGCTCCTCCGCGTAAGAAGCGAGTATATCCGACCCCATTGAGTATATTTATTCCTGATCATCATCAATAGCGGATTCGATATACCCGTCCGGGCTTGGTGAAATACACCCCGTTCTAATGTTAATTTTGCACTTGTATAATTTTGCACCCTTTCCAAGACTGGTTGCTTCGTAAATATACAGCATGATCTAAATGCCTTTATTTTTTCAATCGCTCAAAAGAGCTTCTAAAAAGAAGCAAAACGACGGTAGAAAGTGCGCGAGCCAAGGAGATCAAGACATCTTAAAGGCAACACCTGTCTTGTTAACACATCTGACAAGCTATAACAGTTATATATATCAACGTTCCGATAACCGAATCGGGCATGTCAAATAGTGTTAAATTTATGTTAATGCAGCAATTATGATTCGTTTTGTTGTATAAAAGGCGAGCCAAATGTATCCGTTTTGAAAACGTCGAAATCTTGCTTTTTTGGAATACAAATCGGACCATTTTTGTGAAAGTCAAAGCCAGAGCCTGCCTGTATGAGTAAAAGGTTTAATTTTGAACAATCTTTATTTAATTTTACGTGTCAAATGGCTTTTAATAGCCTATCTTAAAACTTATTATTTTAGCCCAATACTATCGGTGGATCGATTTTTTAGGTCAATAAATTCAAACCTGTCGAATGGCGCCAGCATCGTTGGTTTAACACGTCTAGTATAAAGCTCACAACGTTCCCAATCCTATCTTGCATGTGAATTTAAATATATGAAATCTGTACAACTGGTTTTGCTGACTTTTTGTGGAACAAAAATCTGTTTGATCAATAAAATTCCACAATTGTGGAAGTCGAGTCTCACTGACTGTAAGCTTTGTATTGAAAGCTTTTGGTTGATACAAATCAATTACTTGACATGGCTCTGTGGCTACATCTAAAAACTACGATATAAACCAGAAATTCTACATTACCTATACATACTAATACACTAATACGAATACAAGAGTTATTCATTAGAAACATTAAATTTATTAGATATTACGGTCCATATGGATTATTATTTTACAGACTAGGCAAAAACAGGTGCAGCGCAGTCATACATTCTCACCTCACAGGACATTGGCAAATAGGCACCCACGCTCGCGATCTTAGTAAGAGCATCTGGATGGGATAATAGCTGACATTACGACTCACGGCGCAGGAAAGGCGCATACCCAAGCGGTATTATGTCGGCCCGAATCCGGTGAGCGAGCCTGGTAGCCGCCTCTATATAATATACAGCTACATAATATACGCTATATACACCGAAAATGACCATTAAACATTCCATATCGATCCTAAAAAATCAACATATTTTATATTATACACAAAAGTAAATATGCACTGGAACAAAGTTCGATTTTGACAATGTAACTTAAGTCTTCCTTCTTCATGAAAATATCTTATTTCGTTCAGAAGCTAATAATTTATCGAGCTGAAATGGCCGAATGTCCCACTGTGCGTCGCGTGTCAGGTGTTTTTTCTCGATTTGGGACTATAGTATATAGTATAGTCTATTCGTAAACACTTTTAGGGAGACTTGCAAGTATGGAATGGATGCCAGCAGAACTCAGACGCAGATCTACGTATTCACCATTATTTTCGACCTAAGAGTTAGGTTAGGTAGAGGCGGCTGCCAGGCTCGCTCTGAGCCCGGCACACTTAGGCCGGTTTCCGCCCGTTGTGATACCGCTTGGGATCTTTCCCTCCCTGCAGTGAGATTTCATGTCAACAGTTGTCCCATCCAGATGCTTTTATAAAGTTTGCAATCTTTCTGGGACACAGCGTGGACATCTCCGAGATGTCGTTCAGGAAGGCGGACCTAAGAGTTATAGTGCCGGATTTATCCAGAAGGGTCGGACACGAAAAGACCCTGTCCTTCGGGTACCGACATATGTACCTTATTTGGTATATTAGATAATCGTTTCTTTCGTTTGAATGCTCTTTGCTAGCGACCCCCACCAGACAATTATCATAGCTGATTTAATCGCTGTATGATTTGCCTAATCCTTACTTCTCGTCCCACGAAGCTCGCTGCTACTGATCAGTCTATAGCCCCATCTCTTCCCAAATATCTTACTGGTATACATATGTACATATGTAAGGGCGCACCCTTATTGGTGGTACCTCGTTACGCACTTACCAATGCACGGAGCGCACTCGACGCCGCCTCCGATGGCCGTCGCAAAGAAGTACTCCACGCTGCTCAGCTCGCGATCGGTGTAGGAGAAGGTCTGGCTGGCGCCACAGCATTCCGACTTGGTGATGTTCGTGGAGAATATCTGGCTGCACTTGCCGCTGCCCAGGTGGGTCTGCCAGCAGGTGCCGGCTGCGGAGGGAGGAGAGCAAGATTTGGGCAGAATTTTATTAGAATTAGAATGAAACAGTCGACCTTAGCGATACGACATGCGCTGGGAGATTCCATTGAATCCTCCCCTCCAGATTTAGAAGGCCTGGAAATAGCCACCGTAAATATTGGCGTGTTTACTAAATGGAATCCGTGGGGAGAGTTCCTGCCGCTAACTATCTTGAGTCAGAAGTCGTTCCAACGATCCCAAATATCGCAGCATGCTGGAGGGAGAATTCGCGGGCCGGTCTTTCTGATCTGTTGATATGTTTGTTTTGTTTTGATCGACCCGGCATGCCAAGCAGTTAATGCGATACCGCCGACCGTTGCCGTAAACAAACAACAGCTCTGCCGTGAGAAATTGCGTCATATTTGACTAAAATGTGTCACATTTGTCGTTCGATCCGCCGGGGCAAGGGCGAGCGACCGACGCACAGCTGCAGGCACGAAGTGAGAGGAGAGGAGATACATTTGGAGACACAGATGGGATGCCATGAACGGATTCAGGGAAATATCGAAATATATGATTTTGGGTCATTCTCTCCTCAAGCAAGTGTGAGTCAGAAAAAGTATCTGGACACTTACCCGCCGCCGGCCGCATATTCAGTAGCAGCAATCCTAAAGCAAACAGAGCCATCGACACCGCTTGAGAAGTGGCTCGCAGGCGGCTCCTCCTCCGATGTGGTCTAGAACCAGATAGGGGCTTCTGTTTGCCTTGCTGCTTATGGTGTTCACGTGCCATTGACACCTCGTCACTTGGATTGCGAGTACCGGGCGTGCGTCTATGTCTCACTCGGTCCGCATTGACGTCACGGCCATGGTCGCCAGCAGCCCTGACACAGCCATCGTCTTTCCCGTCACTGGCCAATTCTTGCAGAGAGTTCCATGCGATTACTATAAATAAACTTAGAATTGATCTACTTTTGTAGCTAGTAGTTGTCGTCGATGTCGATGCCACTGCCGTTGCGGCCGATTCTGATGCTGCTGACGTCTTTGACATTGTTGCCGCTAATTGGTTCGGTGGTGTACGCGCTTCCGCTGATGCCACAGGAAGTGCGCGGATCGTCGGCATTTCTCTGCGTTTGAATTTGTAATTTGATTTTAAAAATGTCAAATGGTTGTGGCTGTTCGTTTGATGGTGATGAGGCATGACCAGGCGATGGAGAACGGCCAAAGCTGAGGATAAAAGACGCACGCGCAAAAAAGAGGATGAGATGAGGCATGAGTTCAGTTGCAAGTTCCAGGTTCCATTATAAAATGCACAAAGTTCTTGGGCATCGCTCTCGCAATGCAGGGAGGGAGTGCGAGTGCAGCCACTTGGCCGAAGAACTCGCTTCGGGCACACAATCTTTTGTACAAGAACGACAAAACGGCAGAGAGCCAACAATTAAGTCTCAAACGTTAAGTTGACATTGAGCAGGCGGTTTTCAAAATGCGACTACTAAAAATAAAGAACCTGTTGCTGTCGCCGCTTGTAGTAGTCGTGGCGTTGTTGCCTTGCCGCACATTATGCAGCCGCGTCCACCTCCGTCTGGCTCTGAAAGTCCGTCTCTGCCCCCACCTCTGTGTCTGTCTGTCTGTCTGCCTGTTTGTTTGTTTGGTTGTTTGCTTGGGTCGCTAGTTTGGCATTTGCTTTACTTTGGCTGCCATCGCGGTTGCCATTGCAATCGTCATGGCACTAAGGACGTGCTCGAGACAACATATGCAGGGATGGGGTAGGCCGGAGCAGACATGCAACAATTTCTGCCCAGAGAGGCCAATGAAACGTGACTGTAGTGTGGTTTTTCTCAAGTATCCTAATTTGGCCGACTCGCGAACGTCCTTGAGGCGATGACAACAACCGCCTCCTCGTCCTCACGGAGGCAGCGGCGGAGCCCTAATAGATTAGCCCACTGGAAGCGGTTCCCCCCGAGTGCGGGCCGCCACTTTCGAAAGTTCAGCAGCTCGAACGGCTCCTGCTGCGGATGTTGCCGTTGCATGCAGCTGCAGCAGGCACCACCAGCATGCAGGCAGGCGTGCTGCCTGCCCTTTTCAGGTGAACACTTAATGACCCACTGCGTCATGGTTCCTGTCCAAGCCAGTGTCCGTCGTTTGGACCGAAAATTATGGCGTTAGCATGCGCTGTGACATTTTGTAGGACGCTCCAACTGCAGTTTCGTCTCTCCGTCTGTGCCCACAGCCGTCGCACACGCACACGTACACGCACCCTGAGGCAGGAACATCCACACAGTTGCACTGGAGCTGGAGCTGGGGCTGGAGCTCAAGCTGCATTCCTGCGTTGGAGCGGAAAGACGCCTGCCCGGTGGCTATTTTTAGACCTGGTGCAGTCAATGGGTTTGCACTAGTATAACCGCTGCGGAAGCTATCGCAAATAACTTTTTTACTACTCGTACCGATGCACCGATGTACTGATGCACCGACACGTGCAGAGAGAGGGAGTCTGTCCTAACGAGTGTGTCTAACGTTTAGATAGATCTGACATGATCTGGGATATGGGACTTGGGGTCTCTTCATGGTCCTTCGAATGATCGGCTTGTGTCAGCAGAGCTTTTGTTTGCGTGCGAGTCGAAATTTTGGGCCTTTACTGTACTCGGAGATATCGCGAATTCCTCAAAGCTTGCAGGCACTTCTTTCGGGGCCCGTGGAGCCAACAGTGAGGAACGGAGCGGCCACGCCAGAGGCACAGCAACCAAAAATGCAAGGAGCGCCGCAGCAACAGAAAGCAGAAAGCAGCAAGAGCAGGGCATAAAATGCATTCTCGCCAGCAGCAACTGCATTGCCAAACACAATATCACGCATACACAACCGCAATCCCACTGATAAACACACACACACACACAGACACACACAGACACACACAGACACACACACACACACCGCACATACAGTTTTGGAGAGTTTGGGGTTTGGGTCTGTCTGGATACAGCGAATGCCTTCTCGAGATGCAGTTTGACCGTTGGCCGCCGCTTCAAAAGACCTGTTTTTATGTTTTTGGGCATTTATTCTGGACCTTTTTTTTGCTCATTTTTGTTTGTATTGAATTGCATCTTTTGCTGCGCCGATCAGAGTCTGCTGATGCACTTGAGCAACAAGTGCATAATTTCAACCTTAAGACCGTAGCTGGCCAAAAAAAGCATCAAGCGTGGTGCTGAGTTTCACTGCGGTTCCAGAGCCTCCCTTGAAAGGTATTCCAGTATAGGAAACGTAGGAAACCGCCTTTAGTTACATTTGCATTTTGTATTTTGCATACTCGTATTAGATTAGCCCGCTCGCATGTCAACTCCCATCCCGGTCCACCACTCCTCAGTGCGTATCATGTTATAAGTCGCAAGGAGTCGGAGTCGGAGTCTAAGGCGGAGTCGTAGTCGGAGCATGCACTGAAGCACGTGCTATGCGTGTAGCCAGAAAACTGATCTCCCAGATAGAGCTCAGTACATTTGGGAAACAATGTTGCGCTGCTCAAAAAGCACAGCGAGGAAGTTGAACCCAGCTCCAAAGCTGTTGAGGATGGGATAAGTTGGGATTAAGTTGGTCGACAGCTGCAGCACCCCGTCCCCCGTGAAGCCTTCAGCGAGTGACTTTGAGCCCTATTCCTGTGCCCCCATTCCATTCACGCTTTTCCCAGGCTAGGCGATTGCGCAATAGGGGCGGGGGGGACTCAGGACTGATCCAGCTATTTAAAGCACTGTCCGTTCCGCGGAACACCGAATGTCTTATGTTTACGAGTGTGTGCTCTTCTATGTGCGTTTGCCCTGCCCTGCCACACTGACGTGTGGGCTCAAATCAGAAAAGGGTCAACATATTTGGTTTCATAAATAACAAACAGCCCGCCAAACCGATACCGTTCCAGACTCTCTGGAGTGGAGCTTCTAAGGAAACTGTTTGTCATCTGCCGGGGCGGACGCGGAGCCAGCAAAAACAGGAAATTCATTTCGACAAAGTCAGCAGTTTTGGCGCGAGATTAATGACTTCTGGACAGCGCCCCCACCCTCGCGCCCTTTCAGCGCCTGCCCCTCATTCCACCATTTGCATATGACAGCGGCAGCCACAGCAGCAGCAACAACAACAGCAGCAGCAGCAGCAGCAGCAACAGCAACAGCCATAGCGGCAGCAGCAGCAGTAGCAAAAGCAGGAGCTGGTCGTTTGTTATGCAAGCAGTAAATTTTCAATAAATATACATAGGATAGGCGCACAAACAAACCAAACCAAAACAAAAATTGAATTGACGGACTGCCGGCGCGGATGCCACAGCATTCCACCAAAACAGCAGCTGATACCCGGGACGGAGGGACAGGCGACTTTGACCACTTTGAAGCCTAAGTATCCAAGAAGATGTTTGTTTTTGGAGAGCTCACGCATCGCGTCACGCGTTTGTGGGCGCACTGCACATTGCACATACGCAGCGTTGGCCGAACACCCGCCACTCGAGAGGGTCTTATTTGATGAGCCCGTGTATGCACCGTGCACTGTACGATCTAAGGCCAGTCGACTCATTTACAGGCATCAGCGGGAGTGGAAGCGGGAGTGGAAGCGGGAGCGGGATCGGTAGCCGCAAAAATACAAAAAGTAAACAGGAAATCGGCAGGATCGCAGAGCTGGAAGAGAGCGTGAAATCGCTGTTTGCTTTTTCTGGAATGGTATGCTATTGGTTTTTCCTCCCATTATTTTTTTGCCCTCTAATACTCCGTAGTACTCGTACTCGTTTCTGTCTCCGAATCGGACAGGCAGAGGCAGGGCTTGCAGACACAGCAAACCGCACAGGCCCAGGCCCAGGCACAGGCATAAGACTGTAGGACCGTCTCGTCGGGCAAATAAAAATAAATATCGGCTCACATGAAATCCGAGCTCTTATTGAGTCTGTCGATCGCGCCCTTCCCTCTGTTGACAACTATGCAAGAATTTTGTTATTGTCTGAGATGTGCAATTATCGTAGAAGAGTTTTTCTGCCACTGCAGTGGTACCAATAAGTGGGAATGAAAATGGCGACCTACTCCGAAAGTTGTGCCCACGCAATGGTGTCAATGAATAATGAAAATTTCATCCCCGAGAGCGGACCTCTTCTGTCTCTTATCTCACCTTTTCAGCGTTTGTTTAGCGATGATTAGCACCGCTCTGTGGCGGCTCACAGACTGGCTGCGACCACGCGAAAATTGTCGATGGGTTTTGGCTAGTGGCTAATGGCTCTACTTTTACATCTTGTTTTATCAGCTCGTTGGCCTGTCTTCAACACTTGTGGAAAATGCAACTCAAAAAAATTATAAAACCGAATGAACCGAATACAACACAAAAATATTTCGTGGCCAGAACAGAAGTGAACGTAATTGAAAATGGAAACTGCAAGCTCGACAACGATTTGTGTTTTGCTTCCGCTAGCTGATCGCTCTTTTCGCCGAGCTTTCTGAAGCAAACGATTCTCGGAAGTTTTCGCGTGCTCCGCACTTGTCTGATTTGGAACACTACTCTAATATAACGTCTTTGCCGAATCACAGAGTACGGTAAGTACTGAACGTTTAACTTTAACTGTCCGCGGCGACACCAATTTCCGTTGTTTCCTTTTCCGCGGCCGTTAAAATTGTGCCAAACAGTGCGGCAGTGCTAACATTAACATCCAATGAGTGGGAAAAAGTCTCTCAAGTCGGAGCTGGATTCGGGTTTGAGTTCGACGTGATTGCGTTTTGTATGGCAAAATCACTCAAAGTCAAAACGCATCGAACCGCATTGCTCAAACCAAGTGGTTGCGTTGCGTTTGAACAATCACGCTCAAACCAAACGCTCACACCACAGAGCGAGAGAGAAAAATGTAAGAGTCATTAACATAAAATTTAACATTGGACGTGTTTAACTTAACATTGGCCATGCACTATGAATGAACTTCAAAACAACATATAGCGGCTGCCAGTATAAGAAGTATAACAATAAGATCGCTTTAAAAACATTAACCATATTTGTATATTGGTAAGTTTTTTTTATACCCGGTACTCGAAGAGTTAAGGGGTAAGGGACTAGTTTTGTGGTGGATTGGCATCAATAGCCGAGTCGAGTGACTGTCGGTCATTCCGCTCTTCTTGTTCGACGCATAGTCCTCTGAGACTAAGAGGAAAAGCAACAGTTTTGTTTGTAGACTCGTGAGATATCACACTGAATCAAGCTTTTTTACAAGTTTTGCCACGCCGCCTACCCCACCCACAAAAGGCGAAAATCTGTGGCATCCACAATTTGCGTATTTCTATACGCATAATCATAACGAATGACCATATCTACCAGATGGCTGAGTCTAGGGAGGGCAGCGAGATATAAAGGCTGGTGTTGGTAGCGGAATACAGAACAGTATCGTAAAAATGGCCAGAGATAAATTATTTTAAGACTCTAATCAGATAGGTCATCAGACGGAAAAAGGATTAACGAAGTGCAATAATTAACATTAGAGCAGATGTAGCTTGCGGTTTTATGTCTATAGCTTTGTCTATCTCTCTATATGATTCCCGTTCCGGACATGCCAAATTGAGATCGCGGTCTGTGTTGCCTTCCCTACAAATAATTCCCCCTCCCCATTAACCCACATATCAATTAGTCCCTTTTGCGAACGGCGATACCAATATAGATATATAGAGAGAGAGAGCAAGTGGCAGTCTTGGGTTCGGATGACAATTCTAGGCCTTTACGTATAAAATAAATTGAATAGTTTACATAAATCCCTAGTAAAAAATGGCCATAATACCTCCTGGTACGTCACCGAGCCATAACGCAGCATCACATCATATCGATCAATATCCAAACGTGAAACTGACGATCTAATATGTTGGTAGGAAAAACTCGCCCAGGCCATAGCGGAAGAGCCACGCTTTTCCTCCATTCTTCCAATCGTCAATATAAACTGAAACCGTAAGAATTGTTTTCTAAAGCTTCGTGTCAGTAAATTATAATTTCTAGGGCTGCTTCTGACGGTTTCAATAATAGAGTCCGAGCTAACACTTTTTAAGGCTCCTGCAAGGACAGAAGAGGCCCATATCGCTTGTAGTAGTCGCCGATCTACTGATATTTTGGCGTATAACTGGCCCGATCGCGGGGCTAACTTCATGGTTCTTATTACATGTTCCCATGAAGCAACAATGCTATTTTGCCCCTCATCTCGACATATCTCTTACCCTGTAAAATGATAATGATTTTCAAAACTTTCTGTAGTGGTGATGAGTACCGAAAAAATACGAAATGTAATGCAGAGAAAAGGCATAATTGAAGCAAGCAGAGCAATGGTTGACAAGGCAAAAGTAAAGGTAACAACAACAAAAAACGAACAAAGCCCATATTAGTACTACTATTATCTTGACCGCAACTGTATGTCCAAATCTCGTCCAAAGGTTCCCACAAGTGCCGGAGTGTCGACGCTCATTAAATCCAGCGAAATCATGCCGCGACTGTATAGAAAACATATCGCTGCTATCCTCAGCCTTAACTGTCTATTGTTTGGCCGAGCAAAGCGGCGTGCAGCGCGAAAAACGATTTCTTTATGGTGCAAACAGCGTCATAAGTTAGATGTATTTGCCAGATACTCGCAGAAACCCACTGCACGTCGCTGCCAAGATGCACCTCTGAGGGAAATAAAGACATTGAATGGCTTGGATGTCATTACGGCGTGGAGCGTTTTATTAGGAAATGGCGTGCTGGTGCGTATTAAGCCAGCCGTTGATAACATAACGGTGGCAACTCTTTACTCTCCTGGCCACCATCCCCCCATTCCCACCTTCGACCCAGCTAATGATAGCCGCCAGGCAGTGCCTTGTGTGTGCCTGGTGCCTGTCTGCCACATTGACGGGTATTTATTGAAAGTGCATCTGATGGGGAATATGGACAGTGCGAATCTGTGAGACAGCGAGGCAGCGGCGGGCATGCTCCCCAACCCTGCTCGTGCATGACTGAATGGAATCACGTTCGCTTGAGTCATGCCGATGCACACATATTTATATTTGGCGGTGCATCCACCCCCACCCCTCTGAAAAGCCAATTGAAAATCAAAATTCAAAAATCGAAATTCCCACTAATTTCAGTTCTCTACGTGTCCTGCGTAGTAGTTCAATAATTTTGATTTTATGAATGAGATTTTTCTGTATGTCTTCTGTGCGGCCGTCACATCCAATCAAATCAAAATGTTAAATTCACTTCAAAGCAAACACATTTTTGCAACTTCCGTCCGTCATATTTGAGCTGCAGCCGGAAATGATGAGTGGGAAAAATATGTACGAGTAGAGTATAAATCTTCATAACGTTTAGCTATCAGTCACACAGATCGAATGTTGTCGTTCATTGCAGCGCAATTTCAGGATCTTTGGCGATTCAGTTTACGTTTCTCACGACAATTAGTACCAGCAAGTAGCAGGTGAGCAGGAGAGCAGGTGAGCAGCAAAGGACACTGTAGCTGGACTGGGGCGGCTCAAGTGACGGTAATTTGCGGTGCCTCAAGGATATTTGATGACAAAAGGAAATTGCTTTGTGCTAATCTGTCTGCCTGCTGGCCCGTCTAGACTATGAGTGATTTCTGCCGGCCTGATGTATGCCGGCCGTGTGTGGCACAGTCCGCTTAGGCTTTCTTGGCTGTCGGCACTTTACATCAAAGTAAAAGCCATTGCGATTGGCTAGACAGCGCTTTATAATCCTCTCCTCGTTAGTTGGATTACATTCGGTTTCCCCCACAAATGCTTGTGTGTTTATATTCATTCACACACACGCACACGACACAAGATTGCCAATGTAAATGAAATAAAGCTAAAATTAGCAAACGAAATAATATATCTTCTCACCAGGTAAAAACCATTCTAATACCCAATGCTCAAAACGTGTATGGGGGTATATTAGATTTGTGGGGAAAGTGGATGTGTGTAACACCAAAAAGATCAGAATCAATAGCCGAGTCGATAGAGCCTTGTTTGTCCGTCCGTCCGTCCGCCTTATCAGACGCCTAGGTCTCATAGACTCATAAGAGTTGGATCAACGAAATTTTGTGTCCAGACTCCTGTGATATTACACTGTTACAAGTGTTACAACTGTTACAAAGAACGAAAATTGAGGAATAGTGACTTAGTATCGGGTATAAATATAGATTCGCGGCCGTAGCGTCGACTCACAACGTTACCTCATTTTTTTATACCCGATACTCAAAATGATTATTGGGGTATATTAGATTTGTGGTAAAAGTGGATGTGTGTAACGTCCAGAAGGAATCGTTTCCGACCCCATAAAGTATATATATTCTTGATCCATGTCTGTATGTCCGTCCGTCTGTCCGTCTGTCCGTCCGTCCGTCTGTCCGTCCCCTGTGGCATCCACATTTTTAAAGATACGATAAAAGCAAAAACGCAGAATCGTAGAGGATGACTATATGTTCTAGAGTGTAAAATTTCAACCAGATCGTATAATTATTATAGCCAGAATCAAGAAAACAATTTTATTCTTTCTCGCTCTGTCTCTCTCTAACACACAGGTTTCATGGTCGGTTTTGCCAATTGCAAAATATGAATTCAAGGATCTCAGAACCTATGAGAGCCAGAGCAACCAACTTTGGTATCCACACTCCTGTGATATCGGACCTTGACCGTTTCGTGTCCAAATTTCGCCACACCCCCTTCCGCCCCCGCAAAGGACGAAAATCTGTGGATGCACAATATTGCACATTCAAGCAAACTGAAAATGCAGAATCATAGATAATGACCATATCTATCAGATTGCCGAATCTGGATCAGATCGGATCATTTTTGTAGCCAAAAGCAAGAAATCAATTTGCAGTGGCTACGCAGCGCCCGACGTCACGCTCAGATTTTCTGTCTCTCTCGCACGCATTCTTTGTCGTGTCGTTCAATATTAGCGGCGTCTGCCGGAGGAGAGCCATACTGACTATGTATCGGGTATAAATGTAGAGTTGCGGTCTCCGCAGCAGCTCACAACGTTCCCCCTCGTTTCTTTTAAATTTTGAGATTTTTAACGGTATTTCACGGTAAAATCGTATTTATGCGTTTGGTCAAACGGCTGCACCTTAAACTTTTATCCGTAGACTTTTATAAACTCCAAAAATAAAATAAAAGGCTATTCCATAGCCTCCAATGCCTCCTAATGAACCGTAATGCATTCTGTAGCTACATAATAAACCATACAAATAAATATCAAAGGGGTATTCCAAAGCTTATGTCCACTTTAATGCACCTAAGAGAAGCTGTAAGGGACAATTACACGATCACACAAAAGCTGCAGCACATTGGTCAGAAACTTTCGGGGCACTGAGATATCTGCTCACGAAGCCGTATATTGTTGTCTAGGCATTCCTTCGTGTGGAATAGCAAACAAATGTATTCCTGTGAATACTTTCCCTGCAGAGTAACGAGTTCGAATTCTCAAATCCACAGCCTTCCAAATATGAATTATGACATATTCGTCAAAGGATTGCTGGAGCGGTTTTAACAATGACCAACTGATCTTGAGATCCTGTGTTTAGCCGATTTTGCTGTCCAGAATAGAGATGATGAAGAGGCCGCAGAAAATGAGGCCATAGT